TGTAAAAATATACTTTGAGACTTTTCTGAAATGTTTTATCTACAAGTTGCAGTTTGAGTGATTTGTCTTTGGAAATAAAAATTCAGCCTCAAGACGTCAGATGCTTTGGAAGTTCGTTAGTGCTATTGGAGACCCTTTCCCCATCCTTTGAATATCTCTTGAGTTACTTATCTACAACTCTTTCATCATAAGCTCCTAGAGCAGTGATGGCAAACCTCTGACACGTGAACTCATTTTTTGGTTAATTTTTCTTTGTTAAATGGCATTTAAATATATAAAATAAATACCAAAAATATGTCTTTGTTTTACTATGGTTGCAAATACCAAAAAATTTCTATATGTGACACAGCACCAGAGTTAAGTTAGGGTTTCTCAAAATGCTGACACGCTGAGCTCAAAAGGTTCGCCATCACTGTCCTAGAGGATGGAGCTAGTACACTGTACAGATTCCACTGTTCCTCACAAAAATCATTAAGTAGGTTAAGTATATCTTCAACTTCTTTACTTTCATTTGATACACTGGCATCCCTCTTTTGAGCACCTGTTTAACATTACTACCTATTTCTAGCTGCCTCTTTTTTCCCCCTTACCTTTCTGTTGCTTCCTTCTCACCTCTACCACTGAAGGGAGTTTGTTATAATCAAGTTTGATTTTTCAGTGTGTGTAATTTATTATAAAGCAAATACCATAGAGAACCAAATAATGTCCCAGTAGTCTGATACAGAGGATGTGTTCACAAAAGTTGACTCCAACAGAGCTTACACAATAAAATAATTTAACTAAATAATACAGTGTGCATAAGATAGGGCTTGTCTTAGATATAGTCATACAAGTATGGGTATACTTTATGCACAGATTTATTCTAAAATGTAACTTCTTAACTCGGGGTCCACACCTGCAAGAGTAATTGGTTGTGTTTCCAGAGAGCTAAGCACTCCTAGAATCTGTAAACTTCAGTGTCTATGTATTTTTGGAAGGAAGGCTCCATAGTTTTCATCAAATTTTCAAAAGTATTTATTGATTAAAAAAAAATAAAGACCCACTTTTATAAAGAGCAAAGGGGTGGATAGAGAGGAGAAGATGCATGATTTGATAAGAGTGAGGACATTTGGTATTGCAAGTATGGTCAATGGACAACTTCATTTGTAAATTTTGACATTATATATAATTACATCTAATTCATTTATACATAACTAGAGGCCTAGTGCATGAATTCGTGCATGGGTGGTGTCCCTCTGGGTGGCCTGCGGGGATCGGGCCAAAACCCACAGTCCAATGCTGCCTGCAGCTCCTACCTCCCGCTATCGCTTATGCCAGCCCCACTGTGCCTGCTGTGGGTTCCTGCCCAATCAGTCCCGATTGGGAGAGGCTCGCACCACCGCAGCAGCACTCGCCAGCCGTGAACCCTGTGTCTGGTGTCCTCCTAAGGGGAGTGGTCTGCAGGACTGGGCCGAAACCAGCTCTCCGACATCCCCCAAAGGGTCCTGGATTGCGAGATGGAGCAGGCTAGGCTGAGGGACACCACCAGTGCACAATTGGGGCCAGGGAGGGACCACAGAAGGGCTCCAGGGTGTGTCCAGCCCTTCTTGTTCAGCCCCGATCGGCCGGACCCCAGCAGCAAGCTAACCTATCAGTTGGAGTGTCTGCTCCTGGTGGTCAGTGCACATCATAGCAAGTGGTTGAGTGGCCTTAGCATACCATTAGCATATTATGCTTTGATTGGTTGAGCAGTTGATGTGTCGCTGGACGACTGGACACTTAGCATATTAGGCTTTTATTATATAGGACTAGAGGCCCGGTGCACAAAAATTTGTGCACTCGGTGGGGAGGGATGTCCCTCAGCCTGGCCTGTGCCCTCTCGCAGTCTGGGACCCCTTAGGGGATGACCACCTGTTGGCTTAGGCCCGCTCCCTGGGGGATTGGGCCTACGCTGGCAGTCAGCCATCCCTTTGGCAGCCCGGCAGCCCTCGGGGGATGTCCACTTGCCAGTGGGGAGCAGGCCTAAACTGCAGTCGGACATCCTTAGTGCTGCTGAGGAGGCAGGAGAGGCTCCCACCACCACCGCTGTACTGGTATCCATCAGCCTGGCTTGTGGCTGAGCAGAGTTCCTCCCATGTGAGAGCACCCTGATCACCAGAGAGCAACTCCTGCATTGAGCATCTGCCCCCTGGTGGCCAGTGTGTGTCATAGTGACCAGTCATTCCCAGTCCTTCGGCTGTTAGGGCCAGTTTGCATATTACCCTTTTACTATATAGGATAGAGGCCTGGTGCACGGGTGGGGGCCAACTGGTTTACCCTGAAGGGTGTCCTGGATCAGGGTGGGGGTCCCGCTTGGGTGCCTGGCCAGCCTGGGTGAGGGGATGATGGCTGTTTTTAGCTGGTCATACCCCCTTCAGGGTGGGGGTCCACACTGGGGTGCCTGGCCAGTCTGGGTGAGAGGCTGAGGGCCGTTTTCAGGCTGGCGGGTGACTGAAGCTCCCAACCTCTCCTTTTTTTCTTTTTTTTTTTTTTTATTCTGGGATTTATTTACCTTCTATGGCTGTCACTGGAACTGAGAGCCAGCTTTAGCTCTGAGGCTCGGCTCCAGCTCTGAGACCTTGGCTGCTGAAAGCAGGTCTCTGGTTTATTTGGGTTCTATAATTGAAACACTGTTGCAACTCCAGCTTGGCTGGCTGGCTGAAAGCATGGGGTTTGTTTAGCTTCTATATTTGCAACATTGTTTCTTAGACTGCAGCTCAGAGGCTGGCAGCGACAGGCAGGGAACCTTGGCTTCCTCCTTCACTGGAGCAAGCAAGCCTCCTGTTCACTTCAGCTGCATGGCTGCCGGCCGCCATCTTGGTTGGCAGTTAATTTGCATATCTCGCTGATTAGCCAATGGGAAGGTTAGCGAAGTTACGGTTAATTACCATGTTTCTCTATTATTAGATAGGATGGTAAATCATGGGAGTCATATTTTTAAGGAGTCTTTGAAAAGGCCTCAAGATGATGAGTTTAAATATTGATTCTCCCATAGACCTATTTCAAATTTGACTATAATGCAGTCAGTGGTGTGCAGTGAGCCATTGGTTTGGGATATGAAATGTACTTACTTATACTTACTCTTAAGTGAAGTTCCTACTTTTGCAGACCTTAAGAAGTGGCACATTTCTTCCCCACAGTTCACTTTCTAGTGAATGAGGAAGGGAAGTTGTTTGAGCTGACTGATATTTTTGGGTCTAAAATTACATAAAGCTAAAGAATAATTTTTTTAATGCAGCCTCTAAAATAACCCTAGAAGTGGAATTTCAAAATTATTTTAAGCAATAGAAATAAGATGTATAGTACCACTTACCCACTTAAATAGAAAACACTTATTTGGTTGTAGATATTGAGTTTTTTCTTCCTCAAAATATTAACTTACAGGCACTCCTCATTTATAAACCTGAGTGATGAGATTTATTAAAAATACTCGTATTTACTGAACACCTACCTTAACACTGGGCACTTCTTTAGGTGCCTGGGTAGCATTATGAACAAAACAGCCTAAAATGGACAAAAACTTTCATCTCATGGACCTTACATTCTTATGTGAGAGTAGCAGTCAAAATTCTAAGTACCTATCTTATAAAAATATAACAAATGGTGAGTTATTTCTTGGCTGCTTAAAATTAATATCTCCTGTTTAACAAAATATTAGAGGCTCAATCATCAATTCATTTCATTATAATTTAGATATATTTTGATTAAAAGTCTATGGTGTAATTATTATTATTTGGTCTGTTTTTTAATTCAGTCTATGGTTATAGATAAGTAAAGGAAGAAATGCTAAGTTTTTCTAATGTCCTGACATGCACCATGTACTAGAAGTAGTGGATTGTCCTTAGCATCTCTGGACAAGTACATAGAATCAATATATAGGTCTAATAATCATTTTTAAAAGTAACCTCTCTCGACGTCCTTCCCTATGGCTTTGATAGTAAAAGTGTCACATAATCAAATTACATTCTTCTGAATAATGCATAATATTTATCAGCTGGTTTAATTTGCATTAGGTTTATCCAGGTAATGTCTTATAAATAGATAATTCTTTCAATGAGAACACTAGATCAGAACATAAAATATTCTTAGTTACACATAAAATAAAAAATTTCAGACTTGTGGAGAGGGATGGGCATAGGATAAGACATAGTTTATAAGCTGCCAAAAGTGGAGTGGGCTTTACCATTCCATTATCAAGGGTAAAATGTAGAGGAAAGAGATGATAAGCAGCTCAGATTAAATAACCTTTGACTCATTTTGTTTTCTATATAGTATTTATATACATTATACATTTTATGCTGTATATACTCTTACAATAAGACATGTTGATTAGGTATTTTTAGTTCAGGAAGGGATTTGATTATAAATCACAATTATTAATGCTATGTGCTGAATTGTGTCTCCCCCCCCCGCCACAAAGGCATGTTGAAATAGAAATGCCCAGTACCTCAATGTACTGTATTTGGAGATAGGGTGTGTAAAGAGGTAATTAAGGTAATATGAGGTCATATAAGTGAGCCCTAATCCAATGCAACTGTGTGCTTATGAGAGATTAGGACACAGATACACAGGAGGAAGACCATGTAAAGACACAGGGAGAGGCTGGCCATCTACAAACCTAGGAGAAACCAACCCTGCCAACATCTAGAACTTGGACCTCTAGCCTCCAGAACTGTGAGAAAATAAATTCCTGTTGTTTTAGTCACCCAGTCTGTGATATTTTGTTATGGTAGCCCTAGCAGATGTGTACAATTAATAACTTTTAAAAAACACTCGTGCTCATCTTATTTTGCACTTTTGTAGAACTTTATTTTATCCTCAGTGTGTTTTTCCCTGATAGTCACAAGAGGAGCTTTTCTGAAGCCCCTTCTACTGTGTTACTTGATGGTTTGCTGAATGAAATTTGCTGAAGTTCTTTTGAATGTTTTCTCTTTTTCTTCAAGAGTAGAAACAATATTTGAAATGTAGAACAAGGGATCATACTACAACATTAGGCATGTTTTGGACTTTTTGTCATCAACACCATCTCCTGAATCTTCTGTAGCTAGTAAAAAGGAGAAAAGCAGTATTATTGGGAGTGTGGATACATAGTGTTTTTATTCTAACACTCTAATGATGTTAGTATTAACTTTATGGCTTAATTAGTTTTAGCTTATAGCAAATACTAAAGGCTTGACTATTTAAAAACTTAAATACATATTCAGAATTAGTCCACTTAAAAATAGAATCTAATAAAGAATTAGCCAATTATAACATCTGTTTCTTAAGAGAACCACTGAAGTACACAATCTGGGAATCTGAGTTGTTGCTTTGGGCTAGGCACAAAGCTTGTTGCCTGGAAATACAAAATAATGTTCCTAGTTCACAAAAACTTGTCACTGTAATAGGAAAAAGGTCCAGCAGTGATTTTTATGCACATAAAGTAGAGAAGATCCACACCCTATATAGTAAAAGGGTAATATGCAAATTGATCCTAACAGCAGAGCGACTGGGAATGACTGGTCACTATGACACACACTGACCACCAGGGGGCAGATGCTTAATGCAGGAGCTGCCCCCTGGTGGTCAGTGTGCTCCCACAGGGGGAGCTCTGCTCAGCCACAAGCCAGACTGATGGCTGCCAGTACAGCTGTGGTGGTGGGAGCCTCTCCCTCCTCCTCAGCAGTGCTAAGGCTGTCCCACTGCAGGTAGGCCTGCTCCCCACTGGCAAGTGGACACCCCCAAGGGCTCCTGGGCTGCTAGAGGGATGTCTGACTGCCAGCTTAGGCCCAATTCCCTGGGGAGCGGGCCTAAGCCAGCAGGTGGTCATCCCCTGAGGGGTCCCAGACTGCGAGAGTGCACAGGCTGGGCTGAGGGACCCCCCCGAGTGCACAAATTTTTGTGCACCGGGCCTCTAGTTCAATATACTGAATACAAATAAATAGCTAGCTAGCTAGATAGATAGATAGATAAATAAAAATGCCACGAGCCACTTAAAGGACCTGATACCCTATTACCCTGTTTATCATAAAATTGAGCGAAAGATTAAATTTTATTGTACTAAGAGATATCACTTGCTCAGTAATATTACCACTTTTGATATCTTTTTGTAGTGCAAATTAGATATTATGGCTTTCCTATTTAAATCCCTTTAATGACTTCCCCTAGCTCTTCTGGAGGACACATTCTTAGTAAGGCCTTCAAGGCAATACAACCTGGCAGGGCTGCCTGCATTACCAGCCTCTGATACTTTGCCCTGGTTACTGTCTAGTCTCCTTAAGTTCTCCAGTTGCACCAAGCTTATTGCCACTTCAAAGCCTTTGTACATATTCTCTTCTTTCTCTCCTTTCTGAACCCCACCTCTCTTTGCTTAGCCAGAGTTCAGAGTTTAGCATAAGCATCCTTCCTCAGGTACACACCTCATGCTTCCTCTGATAGTTAGATAACCAAGCACTCACTTATTTTAACATCTAGCTCCCCCATCTGTGAGATAAGGGCTCAGTGTCTCCCCAGGGCCTGCCTAACACAGGGCCTTCCTAACACAGGGCCTTGTACTGAATAAGTACATAAGTGGATATCAAGGAGTCAGAAATCCTATTTTTATTCTGTTGAAGGATATCCTTAGCCTCTTCAGCAAAAGACTTTCTCCCTCTTTAAAGTCTTTAAAATACTCTTAAACACAATAGAACGCTCTAAAAGGACTGTTGTATCTTCTGTTTTGCAAGACCTTTCCAGATAGAGATGAATTCTTTTTTAATAAGAATTTCTTACAAACTTTTTGAGTGCTGAACTCTCAAAAAAAAAAAAAAAATCTCATCGTATTCACATTCCACTTTAGAGATGACATTTTGAGACATCTGATGAGCTAATAATTGATCCTGAGTGTCTTACAGAGGTTTTCTGAAGAAAGTCTAACAAAGTGATTTTAAGAGTAGAGATTTCATTAGGAAAAATAGCCGTGGAGACATTTGAGGCGCAGGCAGGCTAAGTCTTGGAGTACCTGTTGACACCTCACTCAGCTGGCCAGCTTTGCTTTACATGTAGGGCTACCTGGAGATCTGTAAAACCTTCTCATTATATAGAGAAGAATATTAAGCTCAGAGAGGTTCAGCAAGTTGCTCAAAGTCTCACAGCGAATGCATAATGTTGGGACTAAAATTGTTGATTCCTTTGATTTCATGGTTTTCATGTTATTTCTAAAAACTCAGTATCTGCAGAGGTGCCTCAGGAGCCAACTTCTAGAGTGGATGAGGAAGCCTAGGCCCACCCCTAGCTCAATGGGACCAGCCCATTCCATCTGGAATTCTAAGGAAGGTCTGTGTGTGTGTGTTGGGGGAGCGGGTGGTTGGAGGGAGGGGAGGTAACCTGAAAATCACTAACATCTTAAAATTATCAGACCGTACAGTAAAGCAAGTTTAATATTTGTGTTTACTTTTTATGCTTTTGTCATGTGACTTCTGGCTACTTGCAAGAAGGAAAATCAAATTCCATCTAACCTTTTTCAGTCATGTTTCCTTCTTCCTGCTTTTTCACCTCCTCTTCCATTACCTTCACCTTTGCATCATATTCATCAGCCAGAGATTTCCACTCCATTCTGTTATTCTGAAGGCCATTCAGCATGGGGGTGACTTCTTGGTGAAACCGGGAGAACTCCTACAGAGAATTTCAGGTCAAAAACTACTTAAATTGTGTGGTTAATATTCAGTACTTTCCATATGCAGAAGAGCTCTAAGAAAATGTTCTGGTGTTCAGCGCTGCTAGGTCAAATTTAACTCAGTGCCTTGGGAACGGAGACAGGGGCTTCCTTTCCTGCCTGCCTAAGTCAATTTGCTCTCACCTGAGTTCTTTCTCCTTCCACTCCTGAATGAGAGATTAGGATAATACCGCAAACTACCTTGGAGAAATAAGGACACCACTAATGGCTTTTCATGTGGGGTCTTTTTGTATTTGGTTAACAGTTTGAAAGCAAAATTCTCATCCAGATGATTATGTATTTCACCCAAATAATTTGTTTACTTACCTTATATACAAAAGTACAAACAAAGTCAATAAATCCAACTTGAAGTTTAGGCAGTTCATCTTTTTTGTTTCTGTCCATCATAGGCTAGAAAGAAAAATAAACCCTTTAAAGATAGTTTTCTAAGGTTCAGCAAACAAAATAGACTGATTTGTATCAATATTTTTAAATAAATAGTGTGTTTTTTATGTCAAGGTCTTTACAATAGGTTGTTGCTGCAGCACTGTTCTCTCCAGATCTCCTTGTTCCCAAAATTCACTTGCAACTAGAAGTGCTACCTGCAAATAAGAAAGACTTGGTTCATGAAAGCAACTTATTAATAGAGAATCTGCATTGTATTAGTATGAATGACATTTAAGACAGGGTTTATAGTTACTGTTTAAAGTACCTCTGAGCATATTGTCATACCGCATGCTCTTTGGTTTTAAAAAGATGACATTTACAGATCGTATGAAAATGGGAAAGGAGAATTTCTCTTCTTATCAGTGTTCCAAACTCATTCTGGGAGTGCCTACCTCCTAGTTGCTATTGCCACCATCTCTCAACAGTGAAAAAGGGAAATGGGAAGATATTTAATTCCATTATATTATGCTTCAAGCTCTGGAATCTCCCAATTCCTTCTGTCCTGCTTCTATTAGCGTCTAGCATCTATCTGCATGTGTGATGCACACCACACTCACACATATGCACACAAAGGCTAGAACACAGCTTTACTTAATTACAGTGTGCAGATATTTGAGGGTTTATTTATATCCTTTTTAAAAACCCAATATCAAATTTATTGAACACCTACTAGCTGCCTTATATTGGCATGAGCCAGGCTTGCTAAGAAGAATGAGATGTGACATTTTTCTTTAAGATGCTCACAGTTCAGTGAAGGCAGTCATGTACTAGTATACAGTGTGGTAAGTGCTATAACAGTAATAGTATGAATGTTATGGAACAAGGAGAATGGAGTAAATTTAAGTTTAATAAAGGGGGGAGATTGTGCACTGAAGAAGGGATTGTAGGAAAGAGAAAAGCACTAATGATTCATCCTCATGCTGATTTATCACACAATCCCTGAATAACTGTACGTAAACTTTTCATTGCCTGTCCAGTGATAAGGAATACTTTCAGGAAAGCATTTTCTTTCCAATATTCCCTCTACTTGTCTTGTTCTGGGGCCTGATCAAAAAGACCTATTGTCTTACATTTGTGAGCTCGTGAAAGCAATTTGCCTTTTTTCATACCCAACAGGGAACATTTTATCTTTGTCTTAACTTCTCAAGTTCCTCTTTCCATCTTTTTAAATTATAAACTGATTGCTTGAGAGCACAAGTCCAGGGTAATGGAAGATAATAGCTTCATATAAGTGATATATCATAATTAATTTAGCCATCCTTCTATTCATGGACATTTAGATTAGTTCAAATAAGTGATAGCTATAATATCACTTGATAACTCTATTGATAAACCAGAAGGAGAATAATAAATGTGTGTGTGAATAAATGTCTGAGGTTACCCGATATACTCTCGTTCCCTTTTACGTGGGACCTACGAGTGTGACAGAAAAGGAAACATAATTTTATTCACCTGACTTTGAACCTCCCAGGGCTTCGTTATAGCTGACAAGTCACATGCAGTCATCATCATTGCCCTTTGGAAGAAACAAAAATTGTTAATACAGAAAGAAATACAAAATAAGTGATTTTTACCAAAATAGGAATAAAATTCTGACTACTCACATGATGATCTCTTTTTTGGTTGGATCAGTGGTTATGTATTTGATGGCCTCTTCTTCAGTTTCCATTTTTTCACAGGCATCAACAATTTTTTGAAACATGGTTCTCTTCCTAAAAAAAGATGCAGCTGTGCGATAGCATATAAGACCAGAGGGTAAAAAGGTATCTTTAACATGAGCTTTTCAGATCTCCTGAAGCACAGCCAATGACTCTGTGGGTGGACGCCAAGGTAAGAAGTTACATTTTATAATATGTCTGTGCATAAAGTATAGCCATGTTTGCATGACTGTATCTGAGACAAGCTCCACGCACACTGTACTATTCAGTTAAATTGTCTTACTGCGCGTAAGCTCTGTTGGGTCACCTTTCACAATGAGGTGTAAAATTGAAGATATGCAAACCCTACAGCAATTTCATTTCTAGGGAGAGTTTTTAGGAAACATATATCCAAGGACATACAATTTAGTATTGTGGGCAATTATGAAAAATTTGAAATAATCTAAATGTCCGTGAATAGAAGGATGGCTAAATTAATTATGGTATATGCATACAGTTGAATACACAGTTCAAAGGAATTAACTGGATCTCCATTTACTGCCAAGGCAAATCTTTAAAAGAAAATGTTGCATGTAAAAAGCAAGTTGCAGAAAGGTATATACAGTATGATACCATTTATGGGAAATTTTTAAATATACTTCACAATACCATATAAAAACATGGATGGAAAGGAATACACAAATACACATCAGCCTCTGAATGGTCATGTCTTTGAGGGAGAAAGGAGGGGTCTTTCATGGTGGAGTGTGTGTGTGTGTGTGTGTGTGTGTGTGAAAAATCTCATTTCTATCACTTTTTTTCTCCTTTAAAAAAAAATAAGACAGGTATGGAAAAATCTTAGCATTTGTTGAATCTGAGTTATATTATCCTAAGTATCTGTCTTCATGTTTGAACTATCTAATATTAAATTTTTAATTAAGAAGGATCAGAGAGGCACAATTTGATACTTCCCATCAAAGTCATTAAATATTTGGATCCTATAACTTGTTCACTTTGTTCTAATCCATTTTCACCAAGCAGTTTTATGGTTCACTGATAAGAAAATATGCAGAAGCTTGAAGTATCTGGTCCCTGGTAACTATTATTATAATAAGTAAGCTGGTACTCTGCTGTATATAACTCAGAATTCTGGGAGTTTGGTTAATTTGCATCAGTATCACCAAGATTGTTCATCTCCCAGACTCCGGACCATGGTGAATTCAGGACAAAAGCCACCTCATGAGGTTGTGTGGGATCACCCTTCTGGCAATGTGACAATCTTGCTGAATATTCCTCAACTCAACCTTTTTCAGATGAACTATTTAATATTACAGGCTTAGCTTTTAAAAGTTTCCAGATGTCTAGAAATTCACTGTCATGCATCTTGAAGGTGTTTTATTGATAACCCAAAAGGAGACTAATAAATGTGTGTTTGAATAAATGTCCTTCAAGTTTATTGCAATGGACCATTTATGGAAGGCAGAACCACACAGGTATAAGGAAGTTCTGTACTTACTTGAAGTATAAAGCCAGGTCAGTTGCTATTATTGCAACTTCAAACAAATGAATAACTGTTTCAAACTGGCGTTTATTTAGGTTCTGGAAGATGTTTAAACTCTGTAAGATGAACATTCACAATAAAGTGCAATCATTAATTTGCCTGTGATTCAACAAACAAACCAAACTATGCCTAAAATAAAGATTATTTACAGAGAGAAGAAAACTAGGTCTTCCACTGTTTTGCTTTCAATTTTTGCTTTCACTGTTTGCTTTCAATTTTTGCATCTTGGATTAAGAAAACCTCTCTACTTTGAGTAAGTAATTTACCCATAAAAATAGATATTAGCAAACGTTCATGTAATCAGTATAAGATTTTGAAGTAAATAAAAGTGTTTTCTTCCAGGACCATTTAAATAATACTAATAGGTTTAAATATGTGCTTGTATTAATCAAAGAGCTTTAATAAAGAATATCTGGGAGAAAACCAAGATGGCGGCATAGGTAAATACCGGAGTTTGCTGCCTCGAACAACCACTTCAAAAATACAACTAGAAGACGGAAGGGACATCACCCAGAACCACAAGAAGGCTGGCTGAGGGGAAATTCTTCAACTAGAAGGAAAGAGAACGGCATACCGAGACTCAGAGGAGGTGCAGTGCGGAAAATACAAAGATCCAGTGCGACCTGCCCCACCCAAGCCCTGCCCAGAACCATTTGCTGGATAGCCTCAGGCAAAGGCTAGATTAGCACCTCCCCAGAGGACAGAAATTTTCCCACTGCAGACACAGCTGATTCTCACAGCCAGTTGGCCTGGAGGTCAAATCCCCCCAGTATTAACTACAACAATCAAGGCTTAACTACAACAAGACTGCGCACAAAGACCACTAGGGGGTGCACCAAGAAAGCATAAAAAATGCGGAGACAAAGAAACAGGACAAAATTGTCAATGGAGGATATTGAGTTCAGAACCACACTTTTAAGGTCTCTCAAGAACTGTCTAGAAGTTGCCGATAAACTTATTGAGATCTACAAGAAATCTAATGAGACCCTCGATGTTGTGATAAAGAACCAACTAGAAATTAAGCATACATGGACTGAAATAAAGAATATTATACAGACTCCCAACAGCAGACCAGAGGAGCGCAAGAATCAAGTCAAAGATTTGAAATACGAAGAAGCAAAAAACACCCAACCGGAAAAGCAAAATGAATAAAGAATCCGAAAATACGAAGATAGTGTAAGGAGCCTCTGGGACAGCTTCAAGCGTACCAACATCCAAATTATAGGGGTGCCAGAAGATGAGAGAGCGCAAGATATTGAAAACCTATTTGAAGAAATCATGACAGAAAACTTCCCCTACCTGGTGAAAGAAATAGACTTACAAGTCCAGGAAGCACAGAGAACCCCAAACAAAAGGAATCCAAAGAGGACCACACCAAGACACATCATCATTAAAATGCCAAGAGCAAAAGACAAAGAGAGAATCTTAAAAGCAGCAAGAGAAAGAAAGTCAGTTACCTACAAGGGAATACCCATACGACTGTCAGCTGATTTCTCAAACTCAGCAGGCAAGAAGGGAGTGGCAAGAAATATTCAAAGTGATGAATGTCAAGAACCTACAACCAAGATTACTTTATCCAGCAAAGCTCTCATTCAGAATTGAAGGTCAGATAAAGAGCTTCACAGATAAGGAAAAGCTAAAGGAGTTCATCACCACCAAACCAGTATTATATGAAATGCTGAAAGGTATCCTTTAAGAAGAGGAAGAAGAAGAAAAAGGTAAAGATACAAATTATGAACAACAAATATGCATCTATCAACAAGTGAATCTAAGAATCAAGTGAATAAATAATCTGATGAACAGAATGAACTGGTGATTATAATAGAATCAGGGACATAGAAAGGGAATGGACTGACTATTCTTGGGGGGGGGAAAGGGGTGTGGGAGATGCGGGAAGAGACTGGACAAAAATCGTGCACCTATGGATGAGGACAGTGGGTGGAGAGTGAGGGCAGAGGGTGGGGTGGGAACTGGAAGGAGGGGAGTTATGGGGGGGGGGAAAGAGGAACAAATGTAATAATCTGAACAATAAAGATTTAATTAAAAAAAAAAGAATATCTGGTAGATGTCCAACTGTTAGATATCCATGTTGAATTACCTACCATGTAATTTCAGAGTGATCACAGGAAAATTTTCAGGAACTGTGAATTACACTAGTACTCATGTGTGTGTATGAAAAATAATGAAATTCTCCCAAGATGTTCTCCAAATGTATCCTTGCAATAATATTTTACAAAGACTTAACTAGACCTTTCTTGAAAGAGTTTCCCACTAATGATCTCTTCACATATGGATTGGCTTCCTTTCTTAGTGTTCTAGAAAACTAGAGTATAAAGTTGGGAGTGGTTTTTAAAAGATCTGATATTCCAAATAGACCTTTATCGGCATACAGGCTAAAGGACAGATGTATAGTGGTTTTGCCAAATAAAATTGACTGTTATGAAATACAGGAAAAGTTCCGTTGGAAAGAAAAGAGGAAATAGTATATTAACTTATGTAGAGATAGAGGCAGCATAAAATAGACTTGCAAACCCAAGACCAGCTATGGCTCTCTGTTATTCCAAGAGACTGAAAAACTAGAAAGCAAGAAATGAACAAAGAACTCAAGTTTTCTATATTATCTATACAAATAAAAGGGTAATATGGTAATTAGACTGGGAGACCTTCTGGACGTCCTTCCGGACAAAGCCATGGTGGCGGGGCTGAGGCAGAGGCAGTCAGGGGCAATCAGGCCAGGAGGGGAGGGCAGTTCGGGGTGATCTGGCCAGCAGAGGGGGCAGTTGGGGGTGAGCAGGTCAGCAGGGGGGCACAGTTGGCCAGCTGGCTGGCGGGGGGTGGGGGGGAGTTGTGAGCTATCAGGCTGGTGGGTGGGGGCAGTTGGGGGTGATCAGGCCTAGAAGGGGAGGACAGTTGGGGGCAAGCAGACTGGCAGGCAGAGTGGTTAAGGGTGATTAAGGAGGCAGGCAGGTGAGCAGTTAAGAGCCAGTGGTCCCGGATTGTGAGAGGGATGTCCGACTGCCGGTTTAGGCCTGATCAGACGTAGGGATCAGGCCTCAACTGGCAGTCAGACATCCCCCAACGGGTCCCAGATTGGAGAGGGTGCAGGCTGGGCTGAGGGATACACACCCCCGTGCACGAATTTTGTGCACCGGGCCACTAGTCCTATATAATAAAAGGTTAATATGCAAATTGTCCCCACAGGCGGGAGTTCAACTGACTGGGAGTTAGACATGCACTGGCCACCAGGGGGCGGCGTGGAACATGGCGGGCATTGGCGACGTGGCACTGGCAGCAGGCGGCAGTGGAGGCGCTGCTGGCTCCAATGGGCCCCAACAAGAGTGGGACCTCGGCGGGATGGTGGAGCAGGTGAGCAGGTGGAGCCAGGCCAAAGCGGTTGTGAGTGGGGGCCCCAATCGCCCCACCGGTCACCCTATAGATCAGCCCTGATCACTGGCCAGGCCTAGGGACCCTACCTATGCATGAATTTCATGCACTGGGCCTCTAGTATATGTTATATAAACCTTCACTTAAGTCATTTTTTATAACAAATTTACTAGGCTAAACACCATATAATGATAGCAGCAACTCACATAATACTTACTGCTTACCAGGCACTATTCTAAATGCTTTATGAATACTCTAATCTTAAAACAAACCACAGTACAGAGAGGTTAAGTAACTTGCTCATGGTTAAACAGTGAGTACACGGCAGAGCTGGAATCTAAACCAGTGCAGCATGGCATTACACTGCCTCTCAACAAGGAACCCAGGTTCGGTTCCCATATTCACCACTTGGTAGTTGTATAATCTCGGACACGTCATTTAGCATCTGTATTTGCTTTCTCAAATGGGGATAATAACAGCTGCCCTGCCTAACTGCCTAGCACTTAGTCTATGCTCAATAAATATTTGTGGAATGTTAACTCAAATGAGATAACTGAGAATGCATTTTAAAACCATAAATTGCTACAAAGGCCATGTCATTATTCTGGTTATGTAAAGTTTTGAGGCTAGCTTCAGGTTAAAAGAGACTTGCAAACCCAAGACCAACTATGGCTCTCTGTCATTCCAGGAGATTGAAATACTAGAAAGCAAGAAATGAACAAGAACTCAAGTTTTTTATATCATATGTTATATAAGCTTTCACTTAAGTAATCTTTTTATAAAATAAATTCTAGGACCAAAAATAGTATTTTACACAACAGTTATAAGTAGTAGAAAGGAAAGCTGTGATATTTTTTGTTAAAATTATGAGTTCATAATGGCAACTATAGTCTATTTAAATTGATAGAATGAAAAAATGGCTGTTGAACACTCCAAGAAGTACAGTAAACAAAAGAAAACCTGTCTAGATCAAAATCAGTTTCTTACTTGGCACAGTTCACAGCAGCCCCTGGGGCATCCCAGTCCATACTCTGAACCAAATCTGGATACAGGGCATTTTCAACCTGGCCTGAATTGGCCAGGAAGAAGGAAGAGCAAAGAGAGCATTTACAATTTTAATCTCACTTCCTGCCCTTGATTTTGGCACCATGGTGGCCTTTGGACTGGTGGTGACCCAATGGCATGTTTATGTCATTGAGTCACTTACTGTCTTTATTTGTTCATTAATACACATTTTTATGTTCCAAATGTAATGTGACATATACTTTGTAGCTCCAGTGACACTTAAATTCATCCTTGATTGCTGTACTGGGGGAAAAAGTGAGGGCATGTGTAGAAATGCCTTAAACTTTTAGACTAATTAATATTAAAAGCACATGAAGACATTTTAATTTTACTGTATACTGAAAATTTGCTAAGAGAATAGGTCTCAGGAGTTCTCACCACACATTCACAAAAAGGTAAATATGTGAGGAGATGGATATGTTAATTAGCTGGTTGTGGTAATCATCTCACTATGTATATGTATGTTGAAACATGTTGTACACCTTGTAATATATGTAATCTTAAAAAATAAAATGAACAAAAATTTAGGAAGAAGAGCCAAATTAAAACAAAATGGGTGGGGGCAGGAAAGCAAAATAGGCTGATGAATTTAAATAATCCTTTAGGCTATAACTTCCTGTCTCTACCAAGTGTCAGATTGTACAGGGCGCATAATCTATAGCCATCGACCAAATAAATCAATATTTTTATGCACCAATTATTTTAATGTATATTGTTTGTATTTGTAAACCTGGATACCTGTTACTATTTGCTAAGTATATCTGTATGAGAGGAAAAGCTACATATAAAGAGAAATATAAAAATAAATATGACTAATCCTGTTGTACCCCATTTAAGTCATACCTTTTTCTAATCCAAAATAATAAAAAAGCTGTCTTAAAGCGGACAGGTTATCAAAAGGTCTTTCAGATTACAAAGTAAATCAATATTGGATTTTTTAAAAAGATGAACATGGCATACTTTTAAAATTGGTATGATTAAGGAAAATGAGTGTACATTCAATTTTTCAGCACTGCTTTTTTAATAGATAGCACAATATACCTAAATTTCACTCATCATTTTTTTCCTCATTCATTTCACTTTTATCTAAAAAACTGTGCAAGTCTACTAATTGAAAAACCATTTCTTAATTCTATATTCTTTCATATTTTCTCTTTTATTCCTTTCATAGTTAAGGCCTTTAAAAGAAAAACTTCTAAGTGGTTTCTTTTTAAGCTGTGGACATAGATTCATACGAAGTATCCTGCTTCTGTTTTGTATTAGTTGCTGGAAAGCTCTTGATCAAATTTGTGGCCCATGTCTAATAAATATTTATACCTCACTGTACACATTTTGGGAACATTTTGAGACTTTACCATACTTTGTCTTATTTTTCTTATTTTTCCATTAGCCCTCTCTAATGTTATATGTATTTTTGGAAGCTCCACCAAATCATTTTGGAAAAAAATTGAGGATTAAACACATATTCATGCATGCAATTTTTTTTTAAGTAAGCAAAGATGCATTCATTGGAGCAAAGGCCCACTTACTCAAAGAAAGAGTATATTTTTATTCTCCCTCTACTATTAAAATGGCAATAAAAATATAAATTCTGCATAGCACATCAAAATAGGTTTAAGTGGCTCTAATTCATTCTGATTAAGGCTCCCAGGAGAGGAGAAGCCACAGAAAGTACAGGCAGTTTTAGTCTTCACGTTGGAGGAGAGTGCCCACCTGTTCAGGCTCACTGGTGACCTACAGAAGATACTTAGTTTCTTCATGCCTTCTTTGTATGAGATGGGGTTGGTATGAATAGAATTATTATGCACTTTGTAATGAAATGTTTTTGAGTAACAAAAGGGTTCTGTTATTTATGCTGAGCAATTTATTTTGTCATTTTTATAGTACATTATAATATTACAATGTATACTCTCACAAATCTGACTAACAGGTATTTCCAGCCATTCACTCAGGTTAAAGGGTAGGTTTCTGTCTGGTTAGAATATAAGTGGTTCTAATTCTCAAAGCAGTGAATCCCACTATGGGGATAAAAGGCCATTTTAGGTCAAAACCTTATAATATGCAAAACAAAATGTCTGAGTCATGCCCATGAAATGCTGAAGTTGCTAGATAAATTCTAAGGATCTTCCTTGTTTTAAAAATTAAAGATTTTAAAAGTAAACATTTTTATACAAAAATAAGTAAATAAAAGAGTCACATTGTCTACGTAGGATGGCTAAAAATTTCTTTTTTCCCCCAGCATTCAATTTGCGTGCTTATAAAAAGCTCTGTGATTGCATTGCCTAGCGACTCTATTTACAGGCCTTAAAAGTCTGCAATTAGCAGATTGAATAGCATTGTAGGCAGGTCCTCGCCAAGATGGTAAAGATTACTGAGATGCAATATTCCTTTTTAGAATGAATAATAAACCTTTATATAGCCATCAAACCCAGTTCAGGCTGCAGAATAAATAACATTAAAAAATTTAATATGGAAAACCACAACCTTATTATAAACTCCCCAGTCCCAAAAAGAAAAAACTTATGAGATATGAGGAGCCTTCCAATGGTAAGCATTTAGATATTTGGCTGTAGTTTTTAAACATATTTTCCTTTAGTAAATACAATTAAATAACAAAATTAAAAATATATTTGACACAATCTGCCTTTGGTATCACATAATCACTAGGAATTAGAAAATTCTTTCTCAAAAATATAAGATAGTCTCAACCAGTAAAACAAAGACTGATAACAAATTGGATAATTAACAATTTAGTCTTATCTCTCTGAATTACTTTCCAATTCTCCTTTGAATTCTCCCAGAATAGATATTATCATTTTTATGGCATAAATGCTACTGCAGGGAGAACTATTACAGTTCTTGGTGAAAGTGCAGGTTTCTTGGCCCCCACCCCTGAGAGCCGTCAGTAAGTATGAAAAGCAGCCCAGGATCTGTTTTTTTGGTGTGTTTTGTTTTGTTAATCCTCACCCGAGGATATTTTTCCATTGATTTTTTTAGGGAGAGTGGAAGAGAGAGGGAAACATCGATGTGAGAGAAACACATCAATTGGTTTTTCCTGCATGTGCCCTGACCATGGCCCTGGCTGGGGAGGAGCTTGCAACCAAGGTACATGCCTTTGCCCGGAGTCAAACCCGGAACCCTTTGGTCCGCAGGCTGATGCTCTATCCACTGAGCCAAACCAGCTAGGGCCAGAATCTGTCCTTAACAACCTGCCCACCCACCCCGCCCTGTGAAATCAATGATTCTGACGCAGCTGCTCTGGGTCCCCATGTCTGGGTGCTGTATCAGTCATAGGCTCTTAAAAACACTCAAGGCACTTCACTACATATACACTTTTCTTCCTGGTCACTCTGCCTTATAAGTTTTTCCACTTGGCCTTTCATGACCTAAAAGACTGTAGTGTTATCTCGAAACTTGGGACATATTTCTGTGCTTTCCTTCCCCTGAGCCTGTAATAATGATTGTGATGGAAACTGAGCAAAGCTCCACCCTGGAGAGGGCTGGTGCATCCTAATGGGCATCTGCAGTTCTAGACGCGTCCTCTGCCAAGACACAAGTGTTCCCCTCCGGCTAATCAATGGCTCCTTTTAATTGTTTGGTTTGGAACTTTCTCAACTGATTTTTAAAAAAGGAGATATAACTAGACTATATCCACAACTTTTCCACAAGCCTATGTACCCTTAAATAAAATTGATAAAGGGAAGATGGACTACTTCCCATGGAATGCTAGTAGTAGTGATACATGCAAATCAGTGAATTCAAGACCAAGTTCAAAGACACTTCCTGCATAAAGCTGTCCCTGGTGCAATCTGTCCTCCCCTGTGCCCTGCCCACTCCTGAGTGTGATATCTCCCTCTGGAACTCTCAGTGCCCCTCTGAGGGCAGTTGTCCGATTCTGCCTTATATCCCAGTTTCATGCCTCTCTCCGCTACGAAAGCTTGACTTTCTGAAAGTACAGACCATGCCCTTGAATGAAAGGGAGTGCCCAGGAATGAAAAAGAAAGCCAGAGCCTGATTTACACATCCACTATAAGCCTTTTCTTCTTTTTTCAACAGACCCACAGAGATTCTGTGAGGTTTCATGGCTCTTTTGTCCTCTATCCCAGCTACTTCCAACTTGGTTGTTCAAAACTGTTGCAATTTAGCCATTTCTGTCATTGACTTTTATGAGGTAAACACTGTCAGCCTCCACCCCTCAAGGCCACCTCTTTCCAAGCATTTTCTGTAGGTTAGTGTTTTGACCCAGAGCTTGTGAGCTGCCCTGGAGAGAGGCTCATGTACCTCATCCTGCAGGAGAGTCTTACTGTACTCCAGATGGTGCCTCTCCAAAATAGAAGATCCATGAAGCTTTGCCAATGGAGACGTGGATCTAGAAGGAGAGGGATATGCCATGATTTTAGCTGTTTAAAGATTATGCATATGTCCATACAATATAGAATCTTTACTATCTGAGGATTTTTTTCATTTCCTCTCTCTCCCTCTCCCCTAATGCCCGTGAAATGGTCAAAAGTTACATATTGAAAAAGATGTTTTAGATTTAGAAGATGAGAATATGCTCTTTAAAACAATTTCCTTAAAAAAAAAAACAACATCCTTATTTATTGAATGCATAAAATGATTGAACTGTTTAAACTCAGAAGTCTGGTCCTTCTGCATCTAAAATCTTTGTCCCCAGAGTTTATGGTGGTTGAATATGACTTATAGAGCATGTAGCAAACCTGATAAAGCCTGTAGCTCATTTATAGAGAAAGTGTTCATTAGGAATTGAGTATTCTTATAAATACAGCATTGAGAATATGGTCAATAATCTATACATGTGCGATACATATAAAGCTCTTGCTGGCGCTAATTGCACGCGTGTGTTTTGATCTGTCATTGTTGATTGTGAATTTGGTTGACACCTCTATTATAGAGAAAGGGTGAATAGTGATATTAAAGTATTTCTTCTAATTAATTTCCTTTCAATGTGCACGAATCAGTGCACCAGGCCACTAGTGTTGTGATAAGTATGTATGGTTTCAGATAGGTACTAGACTTTTCAGGGTGACCACTTCCCAAGTAATATAAATGTCTAATCACTTTGTTTTACACCTGAAGCTATTATAATATTGTACATCAACTGGAAATTTTAAACTTTTTTTAATATTTTGATTGATGTTTTACAGAGAGGAAGGGAGAGGGATAGAGCATTAGAAACATCAATGAGAGAGAAACATTGATCAGCTGCCTCCAGCACACTCCCCACTGGGGATGTGCCCACCACCAAGGTACATGCCCTTGACCGGAATCGAACCTGGGACCCTTGAGTCTGCAGGCTGATGCTCTATCCCAGTGATAGCGAACCTTTTGAGCTCAGCGTGTCAGCATTTTGAAAAACCCTAACTTAACTCTGGTGCCGTGTCACATATAGAAATTTTTGACATTTGCAACCATAGTAAAACAAAGTTATATTTTTTATATTTATTTTATATATTTAAATGCCATTTAACAAAGAAAAATCAACCAAAAAAATGAGTTAGCATGTCAGAGGTGTCATAGGTTCGCCATCACTGCTCTATCTGCTGAGCCAAACCGGTTAGGGCTTAAACATTTTTTAAGAAAGAGGAAGAAAAAGAATGTATAGGAACTAAAATGAAAATCACTATCAAGTAACACTTCTTCTCCATGACAATGAGATAAATTTAAACTCAAATTTCCCATTTGCTAATACTTGGATCATGCTTTATGTAAGTGGGGACCTCAGTCTTCGGTACCCTGTCTTTCTTCAGTTCTTCCTGTTGGATGGAGGGAAAGTGAATTCAAAAATAAAAAGATGAAAAAGAAAAGATGGAGAGAGGCTGAAGTCACAGGTGTACCTTGATAATGTGGAAATGTTGTGATGGAAATATGGAATAAATAATTTTAAGAAAGGAAGACATCAGTAATATGGGCTGCAGCCTTCATAGAGAAGTTTCATTTTGTTTCAGAAAGAACAGAACTTCAGGGAGGAGAGGGGTCATGAACAGGTTTAGTAACCAAATATCCTAGTTAGGGGTCAGAATTTTTTAAAATATCTTTTCATTGAATTTTTAGAGAGGGAGAGAGAGGAATAGAGAGACGGAAACATCAATGAGAGAGAAACATTGACCAGCTGTCTCCTGCATGCCCCCCACTGAGGATTGAGCCCCCAACCGGGGCATTTGACCTGACTGGTAATCGAACCGGTGACCCCTTGATTCATGGGTCGATGCTCAAACACTGAGCCACACTGGCTGGGCAGGGATTAGAATTTTAATTCACATTCAAATGCCTACTCTGTGTCAGCACTGGAGATTTTACAAAGATGAATAAAGCTCAATTCCAGTGGGAAAGAGTGATTATCTTTAATTCCTTTGGGTTTAAAAACATCAGTCAAAAAAGGTTACAGAGGAACTAAATATTCACCCAGTCTCAAAGTAACACCTCAGATTATTTATTAATACAAAGGAGAAAATGTACCTTTGCATAAAGAGATCAGCTAGACATTATTCATAAACAGATAATGGGACAAATTAATATCATAGGTCTCTTGGTGCAAGGCACTGAGAAGTACACAATGTCTATGTAGAATTCCTACCCACAACGTTTCCCCTGAATCTAGTAACCTGGAAACAATCAGACAAAGCCAAATAGAGGCATAGTCTGCAAAACAACTGGCCTAGACTCTTCAGAAACATCAATATCCTGAAAGACACGCAAGGTTGAGGAATGACTCCAGATTAAAGGAGATTAAAGATATGACAACTAAACCTGGTATCAGGTGATTTTCATTTCTTCTCCCCTTAGACAACCTCAAACGTCACAAGTACCTGTCGACACTGCACATGTGTTCACTCACTTCATCTGATACAGATTATTGGTGCCTCTGTGGTCAATGTCATGGCAGAAAGCAGCAGCGAGCATGGCAAAAGCTTCGAGGTCTGTATAGTATTTCTTTAGCCTTCCTGTCTAAAAGAATATATGCATATATATATATATTTACTTGGATTAATACACCTCTATACATGTGCTGTGAGGCCTGCCTGCAATGAAGGAGATATGCTGTACTTTTAGAGCAAGTTGTTTTTATTTCTTACTGAGTATTGTAGCTAATTCTGGGCAATTACAAAACCCAGAAGGATGGGAAGGGGTTGGAGGGATGGGTGGAAAAAATAAAGGGATGAAGACGTACAAATTGCCAGATACAAACCAGTCACGGGGATGTAAGGTACAGCATAGGGAATGTAGTCAATATTGCAATCACTCTGTGAGGCACATACATGTCTATATTCGTTTCAGGTGTAATGTGTGCACCTAAAACGAATATAATACTGTCTGTTAACTGTAATTAAAACAAAACTTAAAAAACAACCACAACCAAAGGACTTGTATGCATGCATATTAGCATAACCAATGGACACAGACACTGGGGCAGTGGGGGCTTGCCCGGGGTAGGAATGGCTGGCAGGGGGTGGGAGGGTGTCAAGCAGGGAAAAATAAGACATATGTAAAATTTTAGACAATAAATTTTAAAAAATAAAACAAAAAAACCCAACCAGCCAGCAGGTAACTGAAATTTCCTTCGAGGAGGTACATGATTGTCCTCAATAAGTTTAAGGTTTCTCTTAAGAGTGACAATCCAGCCAAGTGCCCAGGCATCCCCATATTGTCTGGTATCATCTACAGGGGAGTTTGGGGCTTATGGGATTGTGCCTATGAATTCCAGAATTACTGATCTAGACTGATGGACTGTCTCCGGTCCTCGCTCGCCATGCTCAACAGGGAAATGTGCAGGTTTATGATTGACAGCGCTCTGGACCTACCATCAGCAAAGTGAACATGGTCTGCCCCACATTGAATCCATGCCGCCAGTTGTGGTAAGTGACGGAACGGTACCCTTTTCTCACGGTGTACATCCATCTGGTAAGAACCTGTCACCCACAGAAGATAACGCCATTCAGACTTTGGAACAGAATGCGAAAGGTTGGAAGGTCTGTGACAATCTTATCGATTGGTCTTGTTTACAGAGGTTAAGCTGATATATTTACAAAGTTAATAATAATTTAAAATTCAAACTGAAGTTAATCTTTTAAACCACAGGAAACATTAGTGAAGTACAGCAACAGAATCGCCCAGTATTTTACATTAAAGACCATCTACCTCTACGGGTACTTTGAATTTCTCCACCACATTTATTTCAAAAAATAGTCGTAGTCCACACTTAATCAGCCCGTGCTCTGTAATGGGAAAGTCACTGAAGTGGAATTCACACAGGTCTACTGCCTTTGGGTCTGGCAAGTCCTCTTCCTGTTGAAATAAGGACAAACTGTCAGATTGCATTCACACATCCAACATTGGGTGTGAAACAAATTACAATAAAAAGTCACCAGCCACAATTTGCTGAGCCTTTACGTGCCTGGCGCTGGGTGATGCAGTTTGCATGTGCTATCCTCACAACAAACCTGCACAATTTCACCCAGTTTACAGATGGTGAAACTGAGACTCAGCTATATCAAGAAACTTTCTAAGGGGGGGTGGGGGTGGGGGAGATACACTTCCAATCATGTTCCAGTGGCTATTTTCTTTCTATGATGCAAAATGAAATGCTGGGTTGCAGCAGCTTCACCCATCTTCGATACTCAGCTTCTCTTTTTTCCTTTTCAAGAAATATTCAGGAAACAGTAAGTGACTGTTTAATTCAATTCTATCACATTTTCTTTACATGCTCAGTGACGCTTTCCCATCAGACTGTGAGCTGCACCAGAGTGGGATCGTGTCCCTTCTGTTTGTGTGGTGCCTCAGATCTGCAGTGCCTGTCCCATGAAGGGGTTTGGTAGATGTTTATTGAGTGAATGAATGAGGGCCCTGTAGTATATTGCAGATATCTTATTCATAGGACTATGAATGAAGCACAAGAGTATTGACTTGGCTTGGGAAATTTAAAAAAGGACCTTACCCTTAAAGAACTTAACTTATTGAAATGGTTATAGAATGCAGACCAGGGAAAGGTGAGAGCTTAGAAAACGCACAGAGCTTAGCTTCAAGTGCCTGGGACTGTGGGAGAAATTGATTGCCCGAGGGCAGGAGGAGGGGGGAGTTAAAGGAGGAGATATTCTGGAAGGGTATTCAGCTGATTTGGTAGGAGAGGAAGCGCCAGGAGGCAGGAGTTAGAAAAGGCTATTAGGGTCTACCAGATAGATGCAGGGGAGCAATTCAGTTCAGTGGGCATCTACTGAGTTCACTGAGCTTACTACTGTGTTGAGGTCCCTTCTCTCAATAATGGTACACAGATATTTTAGGTAAAAATACGGTTTTTGGCCCTCTAGCCCCTGATCTGGGCTCGTCCCTCACACCCTTGCCCTTCTCTCCTCTCCCTGGGGCTCCCTCCTCACCAATGCCACTCTCAGACCATCACTTTAGGCAGAGACTTTTTCCTGCAAAGCAATGGCTTGGGCCAGGAGACTAATGTTCAGTTCTGGGTTTGGCTTAGCATGTCTCCCAAATGGATCAGGCCTCAATATTCTCATTTGTAAAATAGGAAGGATACTAATAATCTTTTTGTCTTTGTTGTTTTAATTAAAAAGTAATTTTGATTAAAAAGCAATTCTATTTGCATGAGTCCAAGAAAATTTGAGGGGATTCAATTCACAACTCATAGTAATACTTTACAAAATTCCTTTCTCCATTTCTCATAGGGCCCTCTGATACCCTTTGTTACTCATTCTCATCACTTTCTTTCTCTCTCCAAATGCTCCCAGATTCCTTGCCCAAAGAGGCTCTTCTTTTTCATTTATTCATCTATTATTCATTCAACGAACATTTGTTGGTTTCTGTTTTCTAGGCATTATGGAGAAAGCAATGAATAAAAATGTTGTCATTGCCCCTGAAACATGTTCTCATGAGCAGAACATTAGCACAGCTTATAAAAATCAGAGTAAGAGAGCCCCTGCCAGATGAGTCTGGTTGGTTGGAGTGTCATCCCATACAACAAAAGGTTTCGGGTTCGATTCCCAGCCAGGGCACATATCTGGGTTGCGGGTTGGAACCCTGGTTGGGGCACATACAGAAGGCAACCGATCAGTGTTTCTCACATCACTGTTTCTCTCTCTCTCTCTCTCTCTCTCTCTCTCTCTCTCTCTCTCTCTCTCTCTCTCTCCTTTCTCCCTTCCTTTTCCTCTAAAAATCAATAAAAATATATTCTCAAGTGAGGATTTAAAAAAAATCAGAGCAAGAGAAGAGTTATGGGAGAGAGTTATGGGCAGCGGTAGGAGCGCCCTGTGCCACTTAGCCTCCTTGCTGGAGGTCGTTGCTCCCGTACAGTTCCCAGAGTGTTACGTAAAGATAAAATGTGAAATTGTTTTTTCATGCATTTCAGGGTCAGTGATACTTAAATGTAAATGTGTATTTTAGCAAGAAACAAAGTAAGTTCTCAGAATTATGATTCCCAGGCGCAGTTAAAGAAGAACCAGTAAAATAACACTTTAATGCAGAAATCACAGGTTTTGAAGAACAACCATTTGTAAGTCTGTGATACAGAGAGGTTGATGAAAATAAAGGCTTTTGATTGGTCTGAGAAGTAGGAAGCCTGGCGCCCAAGGCTGATGTTCTGCTGTTTGCAGGAATCACACAGCTGAGGTGTGTCCTGTCAGGCCTCCTGGGCTGCTCCTCCCCTCTGCTCACTGGGGCGCTGGCCACAGCAGCTCTCTTTGGTTTCCCTCAGATAGCAAGCTATCCTGTGTCTCCAGGCCCTGGTCTGTATGCCCTGCTTCCTCTTCTCATCTCCAGCCATCGCCAAGCCCCATCATCAATCGCTGCCTAGCCCACAACTGCTTTCTCTTCACACCTCAGGGCCATGGCTGTCATTCCTATTCTACCACCTTCTGTGAGTAGAAGCAGGCCCTGGGCTTCTGAGGGCCCTTGGTACTTCCACTCTGTGAACTTGTCCACACAGGGCAATGTCGGTGTCATTGCTTATATTTTGGTCTCCCTATTAAGCAGGAGGCTTCTTGAACCAGATAAGAACCAGACCATACTATCTTCTGCTCTCAGGACCTTACAGAGTTCTTTGTACTACAGTGCATCTCAATGATTACTGAATGAATGGGGAAAAAATTTAAATAAAAGATGAATGGGTGAGGTATTTCTCTGGGGCCTTCTCTCCAGATGGTGTACCTATGGGTTATCTGAAATGTTCTGGAAGCAAGACAAAGGTGGGAGGAGGACTTCCCTCACTTACTTTGTCTGAGTCAGTGCACAGCTGCCTCAGTCCTCCCCAGCACAGTGACATGCACCTGCTGCTACACCTATAAAATAGACCTGGCCTTCCCTGAACCTAGAATTAAAGTGCACACCTGGAGAAAGAATCGTGGTGAGGACAGATACATGAATAATTATGTAGCTAAGAAATTATGCCAAGATAATTTTGAAGAATTCCTCTGAAATACTTGTTTGTTTCTTGAGTTCCTAAGTTTTACACAGCAATGATTTGGGCCAAACTTAGAGCAGATTTCCATTAAAATAGGGTGTGTGTTGGTAAAGCTACTGGTTCTTTATCCATTTTATTGCTTCTCCAACATAAGGTCCTCCTTCCTCTAAATAGACAACTAGAGAATTTCTAAAGTGTCATGATGTCAATCAGAATTTTATTTTACAAGAAGATGCATGTTGTTGAGGGCAAGCAAGGAGAAGGAAGGATTATCTTCTGGGCCAAGTGTGAGAAGAAAGTGTTTAGAAGTCAAACCAAGAAGAGTGGGATCCTCAGGTGACACAAAATTATGCAGGGTGGGAATGGAGCCCTCAAACAGAGGTCAAAGGCCACTGGCTCTGTGGTGGCAGAGAACAGGAAGACACGCCTTATAAAAGATGGCAAGGGTGAAGGTGAGGTTGTCAGTATGTCTCAGTTTAGAAAGCAGAACACTTACATCATGAATTCCAAAAGGACAGAGGAAAACAGGGTGAGGTAGTTAGTTAGGAAATAGATATGATACTATTTCAATTTCATTCAAATTTTTAAAGTTCCAGGCCTAGGGGGCTTGGCTTTCAGTTGGGATCCCAGAAGGGCCTCACTCTAGAAATAAGGCCTCTACCCTCATAGTAAGGGCAAAACTGAAATAAATCATCTATAACAAAATCTAAAATCAACTTTATTTACCTGTCAGAAGAAAATCTAGTGCTGCAGAAAGATAATGCCACCCAGAGGCCCTACAAGTTTTCATTCACAATGTCCAGTTTTCAATGAAAAAGAACTATGAAGCATATTTTAAAATAATCAAATGACTGAAACCCAAGAGCAAAACTAGACAGTAGAATCAGACCTATAGGTGATTCAGGTATTGAGATGGAAATTTTAAAATAAATGTGGTCAATAAATTCAAGAGAATAGAGGGAAAGATACACAAAGTAGATAAAATGATGAAAAGTTTTAACGAAGAGTTGGAATCTTTAAAAAAATTAAATGCACATTCTAGAACTGAAAAAGATTAACTCTGAAATTAAAAAATTATTGGATGAATCTAACTGTAAATTGTGGAAAATGAGTTTAGGTATGTTTAATAGGATGCAACAAAATACAGGATGAATTAATTGGAAAAGGAATTAATTTCAACCAGAAATAATAGAGATGGTCTAATGACAATGAAAAAAGAACTGAGCCCTGACTGGTTTGGCTCAGTGGATAGAGCGTTGGCCTGTGGACTGAAAGGTCCCGGGTTCCATTCCAGTCAAGGGCATGTACCTTGGTTGCGGGCACATCCCCAGTAGGAGGTGTGCAGGAGGCGGCTGATCGATGTTTCTCTCTCATCGATGTTTCTCTCTATCCCTCTCCCTTCCTCTCTGTAAAAAAATCAATAAAATATATATATAAAAATTAAATCAATGTTTATCTATAAAAAAAAGAAAAAGAAAAAAGAACTGAGTTCCTCCAGGCTCCAAAAGAGAAGCTAGCGATGGCGATAATAATTGTGCCTGATATATTGTTCTTAGAAGGTTCATATGTTCTGTGATCCCATCATGTCTTCTGGGGTGGCCATGGTGAGATCCAAAACTATTAAAATAAATCAGACCAGGACATCTCTAGAATATGTGCCTCAAGTTCCTTATGCCATAGTCTAGTTTAGCTGTGATTCTAAATTATCTGTGTGGATCGGACTGTAGAAGACAAAGGAAAGGAAATCAGGTAGCCAGAAGATGACTCTTTAGAAGAAATATCATTTCTTTTTAGCTTTGAAAGTTGTCAGGGAAGAAAAAACTCAACATTTATTTGAAAAATGAGAAAGCATGTCCTAATATATTTTATTAAAAAGGCATTAAGGATAGAAGTAAAACACTTACCAAAATTGTGACAAGTTGTTTTTCTTCACAGTCTTCAATTACATCTATACTTAACTTCTCTTTAAATTTCTAAAATGTAGAAGCAATTGAGATGTGAAATTCCTATAAAGGATATTTCTATTTGATTCCTCTGCTCTCAAAATCAGTTAAAATATATTTTAAATATGCTGTAATGAGTTTCATGACAAAGATACATTCTGGATACAAAAAAAAAAATCTAATGCATCTGATTATGAAGAATTTTCTCCAAGAAATAATCTAATTGATTTCTCTATTCCCCCAAAAGGTAACATAAGCTGTCTGAGTGAGGAAAGAGAGAGAGAGAGAGAGAGGTTTTTTTTGTATGTAGGTAAGAAAGAAAAATAAGTGGCTTACATTTTTTGTTATTTTGTTTGTTTATTGCTTTTTTAGTTTATAGCAATTTCCCTTTATTCTCCCCAGACCTTCTCATCTTCAACATCTCAAATTCTCAAGTCAAACTCTCTGAACTCTCAAATTATCCAGCAAAACCAACCAATCAAACAACAACAAAAAGACACACAACTAAAAACAACCCATCAAAACTATACCTACACACTCTAAAAGCTGGATAAATAAAAGGAACAGAGGAATAAAAATAGTGTGATATATTTCTTCATTTGGTGGTAATTAGAACACTCCTAGCAAATATCTACTTTCTCTCCGACCATCCATGATGTTGATCTTGGTCATGTTTGGCCAGTGAGAATTTAAGTGAATGTTATGAGTAAAGACTTGAAATGTGCTTGCACAGTGGGCTTGCTCTGTTGCTCTGTGTCATGTTCATGAGAAGAACACCTATTATGGAGCACCTGATCAAGAAAAATGAGGGTTATACATAGAACAAACCAAATGCACAGCTTGGAGCCAAGCCCAACTAAGATCAATTGAAGCCTGGTCAACCCACAAATGCTGAGTGAGAATTAGATGTTTATTGTTGGAAAGCACTGAGATGTTATGGTTGTTATGCTGCATTACATGGCAATAGCTGACTGGTATATTTCTCTTCCTGGAAATATTTTTTTCCCCTGCTAACACACTTGAATCCAGGTATCACTACTTGAGCTCCTACAGGCCCAGACACTATTTTTAACAAAGTGCTATTCCAACCAAGCAGCCTGAAAGTCCAGTCAGGGTCCACGTACACTGGGCCACCAGGTCCCCCCTTAGTCCCTCCTTCTTTACCTCCCCTCCTTAGCTCAGGACTAAACCTATTCTCATTAGTCAGACCTCTGGGTAATTAGGTGAATTCCAGAAGCCCTGGTTAGATACCACCTAATATCCACAGGACCGAATTCCCCACTTACCAAAATAGACTCGATTTCATCAGGAGTGGCTTTGATCTGGTTCATGAGCATTTCCTGAGCTATTGCCTTTCTGTTTTCTAGCTTATTCATTTTCTCATATGTATCAGTATTTAAAAGAGACCATCCAAGAAGTTGTGTGAGAGTCTGAAATATATAAAATATGATTCAATTCTCTAAAATGAAAGGAAAATTGATTTGAAGGCAGCAAACCACATGCTTCCCTATCAATCTCCCTTTTAATCTAAGAACAAAACATATTAACAATGCCCCAGACAATAAAGTTGACTAAGCCCTGATTTCCAAAGTGCACTGTGCATCCTGAATACTTTACTAGAGGAGAGAAATTACAAAAATCCAGTAGAATAAGAATGACCTGAAAATCAGAGAGAGGGCTGGGGATGAGAGCAAGAATAAGAGGGAATAGAAGTAGGGGTGGGGAGAAAGGATACAGAAACCTTCTTTCCCAGTTTCCTAGTATTGTAAAGAATTTTGATTAAGCCAAAGATCATTCTTTAGTAAAAAAAAAATGTTGCAGTTTACAGAAGTCAGGAAAGAGAAATGACACAATGACATATTGGCTACAACCTTGTATGACTCATGTTTAATTGCCCTTCAAAAATATCATTCCAAAATAACAAATAATTATGCATCCTCTATTATTTTGTGAATTTCATTTACCTCAATTATTTTATAATTGCACTTGCCTCAGTAATGTGTTCATCATATTCATCAAAAGGTTTTCCATCTTCCCTGTTGTAAAATGTAGCTACTCCCACAATGTCTTCTTTCTTGTTGACAATAGGCAGGGACAAGACATTTTTAATGACCCAGCCAGTGTCATCTACAGGTCCTTTCTAAAAACAATAAAGGCACTCAGATTATTTTTTTAATTTTTAATTTTGAAATAAATGTAGCAAAAGAAATGTACAGAGAGGTCCCAGGTACCATTGACCCAGTAGTTTTCTCAATGGACTATCTTGTAAACCAGGAAATAGACCTAATCTGTGAAGCTTATTCAAATTTCACCATACTTATGTGTATTTATTCGTGTGTGCACATGTGTGTATGGCTTTATGCAAATTCATCACATGAGTAGATTTGTGTAACCTGCACTAGAATAGAGATACAAAACTAACCCAGCACCATAATAGCTACCACCCCATCACTCCCCACTGGGGTTATTTTTAATTTAAAGAAAAATAATCTTTGGGTATTAGATGCACAATTCCTATGTTGTGTCAGAACATGTCTAGGATTATATGGCCATAAAAGTATTCTGGTACATTCAATTAAGTGTACTAGAACCAAGTGTCTGTCCTCCTGTCTTTGTCTCCCCAGCCCTAGGGATGAGAAGCACTTATCTCTGTGTTCCCTGTTTCACTTTGTCTGCCCTCCAACACCTGTTTAGTTAATTCTTTATATTAAATTATTTCTGTTGAAATACTTAGTGTGGTTTCTGTTTTCCTGACTGATCTATCAAGGTAATCTGTTGTACTGTGATGTAGTTCTATCTGGTAAATATCTGTCAAGCCCCTATGATGTATCAGAACCTAGTTGCTGGATACAAAAATGAATACATCACAGGCCCTAACCTCAAGATGACCACAATCTAGTGGGGGATGCAGACATAGATATTTAGGAATGTTTTTCAAAGTGTGGCCCCAGGGCCATATGAATGTGTTTGTTTATTTTTTTTTAGCTCGTTTCATAACCTCTGGGCATGCATCTTGAGTAAATTATTGGGTACTTCTGATGCCCTCCGAAGTCTGAGAATCATGGAACCATGATGTGGCACCGACACAGTAGGCAGCAAAGCAAAGGTAGTCAAGCACTCAACATCACATTCTTCATTCTTCAGCCTCGTGTTAGCTTAGTTGGTCATCCTTTGAGGCCCCAGGTAAGCCTCGCCTCTCGCATAAAGCCTTCTCTAACTTTTTTCACTCATATGGAAATTTTCTTTTTCAGAATTCCAAAAGCAGTTATAGTCTGGACCATTAATTTAGCATTTAAAGATATTTTCCAAATGCTTCAGAATTGTTGGTGTGTTTTTTTGTCTCTGAGTCTAGAGCCGACTCTGGAGAGGAGAGAAATGGTGTGTGTGTGGTGGTGGTGGGGGGGGGGGGGGAGGTAGTGCTGCTCCCCTCTTCCTCAGCACTGAGAGGTGCGGCCTGGAAGAGGGCAAGGTTACCTGAAATGTGAAGTATTCATCTGCGGGGGCATTCAGCATATTACATATCTGTAAAGCAAGAGGAGACAGAAGTCCTGAAACATCATGTGCTGAAGCCATTAACCCACAATGCAGAATAAGAAAGAACACACCAGGTGTGAGTATTTCTTCCATAGGTCTTGATAGCTCACAAGCAAATTATTGGCAGTGGACCTTGGCTAGGACAAATTTGCTAACAACACATTGAAGTTAGCTTCTCTTCTGCTAATTAAGTCACTGGATGACATTTACTAGTAGCACTATCTCTGCACCTTCCTACTCTCCCAGCCTCTAAGGATTCTTCCAAATTCAAAGCAACTAGATGAATGAACACTGCAAAAAATACAAGGACAACACTAAAGAAAAAGCAAATATGCAAATAAATGCTGCACATATATTTCGGGAACTTGGATCTGAAGGGGGAGGAAAGAAAAATGCCAACATAAAGAAATGTTAAAAGCATCAAACATTCTTGCAGGGAGGAATTTTGATGTCAAAAACAAACAAACAAACAAAAAACAGATGGTGGAGAAGCCCAACTCGGGAGAAAGAAGTCAGCTATGAAGGAGGGAGAGTGTTTTTGAGGTCAAGTGGGAAAGCTATGGTGGCCCCATCCTCTGGCCTTGAGACCTCTGGGACCTACCAGAGATCTTATGCTTGTTGTCTTCCTGCACCTGACCTCTCACAGCCAGAACTAGCCTACTGTCCACCGGGCCCACCCAACAGACCAGGGCAACAATCTTCACTTCCTTTACCAACTCACTACATCTTGCATTGCAATCAGTGGCAAAATTCTCTCTTTATGTATTTTTCTCTTTTGTCAGTAATCTTCCATGCTTCTGAAGTCTTGACCAAGGGAATTGTACTTGAGATAAAATTAAACCCAGCAGGAATCATGATCATGGGCTTCCAAAGAACTCTGAAATTTGTGTGGCTACAGTTTAAAAAGCTGGGGTCCACTACATGTATTACATAGGTGATGCTCTTATTTACAGTATTACATGGTATTTACTTCATGGAGACAGCAAGGAAAACATGTTTTTCTAGTCTTTGGATCAGAATATAATGTCTTTTATTCTAAACAAAATGATTCTATCATAGGAACACTGTAAAATCTGTACCTGATCAGTTTTCCTATTTAACTGGAAAGCTAAGAGCAAATGTGCAGCCTAATTTTATTAATGTGGAGGGCATTGAGCAACAAATCATCGTTATCTTTAGTTCTGGCTCTAATTTACATCCTGCCCTTGATTTTTTTTTCCTTTTGCGTTTTCACCTATTTTTATTTTGTGTTATATTGCTTTATTTGGTTGTTGAAACTTAAATCTTTTTTGTGACAAGGTAAATATGAATAAACATATATGGAAATGAAAAAATAAAGGCTGGGGAATGGATCAATTTTTCTCCTGCTGACAAAATATTTTCTTGTAGAGTTTGGGAGTCTCTAGTTAGCCTACATTCAACTGCCAAGGTTGCTCTCACCGATGTCCTGTGCCAAAGGAAGTGGTCCCTCACCTTTCCCTGATATATTCTGGCTTTCACATTTGTTTGCAACTCTTAGCTAATAAGAGTTACATTCAATATTATTTAATTTTGTTCAATAACTTACAAATCCATTTTCAGCAACATATGTTGGTAATCCACTAACGAGAGTCCAGTGGTCTGCGGGAGGTGTCCTTGAGGAAGATTAGAAGAAAGAAAATCACTGCTACACTGAGAAGTGCACTGTGTACAAAAATAAATGGCAACTCCTACAGCTGCTTTATAGTAATACTCACGGAATCACTTTGATCTCTTCCTTCCCATGCAAAATGTAGTCAATGATTTTATAAAAGATGATTTCCTAAGAGGAAAGAGAGAGATTATGAGAAAAATCTTATTTCCCAATAAGCACTTTTCACTGATGAACTTATATGAATAGTCCCTTATTTCCCAACCATATTTCTTGGCATAATATAAATTAGAAAACTGCTGGTGTCCTGATGACAAGCTTGTAATAAAACTAGAAACATCATTGGCCATTTATCTACATGAGCAATCCTATTTAATTAAATTTACAAAGTTGAATTCACCTGAACAATTTTTAGAGGAAATTTGTTTTTCCTTCAATCCCTTTCTATTGTCCAGAAGGATCTGACTGATAACTTCATTAGAACAAATCCTGTCATTTCTCAACCTCAGTCAATGTTTTCCCTTCCAGCTGGGCAGTGAGCACTCACTCCCTCCGGCACTGGCTCATCTGGACAAGTGCCTTGGAAACAGGATTCGGTGGCTATGTTGAGAACTAGCTCACTAGTTCTTTGGACAGAGAAGAACCTGAGGCCTGGACACGTTGTGTCCCATCACCTTGCCTTTCCTGTGTGCTGGGGATACAGTGGCAAGCCACAATTCCTGCCCTTGGAAGCTTGCAGTTGAAGGTGGGGAATAAATCTAACCCAAGCCTTCCCTAGAGATTCAATGTCAGAGGAAGGACCTGGGAACAGTGTGTTTCAAAAGCTGTGCAAGTAGCTCTGACGTGTCCCTCCCTGTTGAGAACCACTGGTCCCAAGCCTTGGATTTCCGGAAAAGGAGAAGTTAAACCATGAGTTAAGGCCCGGCCACCCCACTGGCTTGGGGCAGAACTGGGACTGGAACCTCAAACCCTTGTGTAGTACTCTTTCTACTACTCCAAGGCCCCGCAGAAAGTTACAGGACTAGAACCCAGGCCTTCTGGGGCTCATGCTCCTTCCTCTATGCGTGGCTGCCTCTGGTTTTAGCACCTTGCACCATGTATGGATATCACCAAGGCAATTGGCACTTACTCTGCCATCTGGTGTCTTTGGACCTTTATAAGGCTCGACTTCTCCAAGCTTGACTGGCCATTCATCGTAGAATTCCTGGAGACAGTTATAGTTAAACGTTATTAAACTGTTCCATGAACTACCATATCTTATATGAATTTCATGTTTGCATATTTTATGTTAATTTATAATTCTGGAATTTTATCACTGAAAAACGTCTGTAATTCCCAGCAATACTGCTTATAGGAATATGTGTGAACAAGTCACTTAACCTTTTTCATCAGCAAGTGGGGACAATAATAGAATTCATACTACAGAGTCATTGTGAGGATTAAGTGAGTAATACATACAAAGCACCTACTCTGATACCTAGTTAAAAGTACTCAATAAAGAGCAACTCTTTTATAGAATATTAAATCTAGCGGTTTCTCACAAAGCTAAATATAGTCTTATGTGATCCAGCAATAACCCTCCTTGGTATTTACCTAAAGGAATGGAAAATGTATGTCTACAAAAAGATCTGTATTTTATTTATAATAGCCAACATTTGGAAGCAACCAAGATGTCCTTCAGTAGGTGAATGAATAAACTGTGGTGCATCCAGACAATGGAATATTATTCAGCATTAAAAAAAAAAAAAAGGAGCTATCGAGCCCTGAAAAGACATGGAGGAAACTTATGTTTATTACTAAGGAAAATAACCCAATCTGGAAAAGCTACATACTGTATAATTTCAACTATATGGCATTATGGGAAAGGCAAAACTATAGAGGCAGTAAAAAAAAAAAAAATCAGAGGTTGCCAGAGACTTGGGGTAGGGAGAGGGAGAGATAAATAGGAGGAACACAGGATTTTTAGGTACACTATTCTGTATGATACTGTAATGGCAGATACATGACATTATGCATTTGTCCAAACCCATAGACTGTACAACACAAAGAGTGAATCTGAATGTAAACTGTGGATTTTAGTTAATAATAACTTATCAAAATTGATTCATCAACGGTAACAACCACACCACATGAATGCAAGATGTTACAATAGGAGAGACAAATAATATGGGAACTAGCTGAACTTTCTGCTCTTTTTTTCTATAAACCTAAAATTTCTCTTAAAAAAGAGAGTCTTTTAATTAATATTTATTTTTTATAAAAGACTCATTGAAGACACAGACAACTAGAAAATAGAAAGGCCAAGATTCAAGCCCAGATCTTTTTTGCTCCAAAATGCTCACTTTTTACCTCTGTACCTTACTTTCTTGGTTCTGGTTCTTGTGAGCTATCATGACTGATTATTCACATAGCATATCCATTTTTAAATGAACCACATTTCATGTGATATGTGTTTTACAGGTGATTTTAAGCAAGACAAAAATGTGTGGAGCAGAGAGGACCTTCTCCTTGGTCATGTCCAGCAGTCCAATGGAGTACCGTTCACAGTTCAGGTATGTTCGAACTGTGTAGAGCACTTTGTGAAACTGTCGCTCAACGTCTGTGAGCTCTTCAAATACTTTATTGGCTGACCACATAAGGATCTGAAAGTAGATATTAAAAATAAAACAGGACAACATACACTATGAAAATATAGAGCTTTAGCCATGAGCTGCATCAAATAAAATGAATCCATATCACTAGACAATGCAATTCCATTTTCGAACATGTCCACGTCCGACAAAATACTGATTCTCTGTGTGGGAGAATGAGTAGCCCTTTGCAAGGCTGTGGGCTCATGAAACAGGATGAGCTATGATTGGTCCCTATATCTGAGTGTTTTGGCTTCGAAGGGCAGGTCATCTAAAATTGGATGCAGAGACAGTCCCCAGGCAGAGTGCAATATTGGTGGCCCACTGGCTCCTGTTGACCCTCATCAGTACCCTTCAGTACGAGGGCTGACACTCTATCCTCTGAGCCAAACTAGCTAGGGCCCAATGTTGTTCTTTATTTTGCTGGCTCAAGGAGGAAACAGACTTCAGAGGAATGATTTGCTCCTGAAATTAATAGCTTTATGTACCAGGCACTACGAAGAGCTTTATGTAAACTAATTTACCTAATGGCCACTTAAGAATCACAGTAACCATGTGGGGTAGGTACTATAATTATCATTGCCATCTCATAGATGAAGAAATCATGGCTACCTTGGATGAAGTCTGAAAAAAGGAACCCAGTGCACATACAGATGAATGGCAGGCAGGTGGGAATGGAAAGCCAGGGCAGACCTTGAGAAGACATCTGGGGCTGAAATTTGGGGATCTGCTCCATGTGGGCTAAACCACCACAGGGGAGAGGAGGGGTCTGGGCTTGTTGCCTCCAGGCCCCTTTGTCAGAATAAGTCAGCCTGATAGTGTCACCTCCCCTTTACCTGGCTTCTTCGAGATTCAACACTGTACAAGTAGTGGGTATGATGAAGCTTTAGGATGATGGAAACAAAGGTGAGGTATTTGGAAAAGACCTATAGACAGCAGAGAAAAAAAGCAAATTAGGTGTGACATCTTTCTCTTGGATCTATAACAAATACATTTCCTAAGCCTCCAACTGGATGCCCAGGGTTAGCATTACCTCTTCATCCTGCTTGGAGAATTCAGATGCATTTACTTTGTTAACTGCCATAACCACAGCCAGAACCTCCTTGCCCATCACAATCGGGGTTGCCAGCAGGTTCCGAGTGACATACCCGGTTTGTTTGTCCATGAAGTCAGAAAAATGGCTGTTCTGAAAAAATGCACACACATTTGCCAAGCAGCACAGAACCATGGAGTGTGGATCTAGAAATGGCAGCAGGTCCTTCCGTCTATTCCAAATTCTATCGACAGATAACCGGGGCCCCAGCGCAGTGGTCCTGAGCAAACACCCCCCCATCCTGTGATTGCATTGAACGAAATTGCCCGTGTCAGAGGGAGCGTTTTCCAGCTGAGCTGTGGCCTATCCAGGTTAGGCTGAGGTTGGGTTGGGCCAGGAGAAAAGAGGTGATCCCACGGCCAAGTGGGTAGAAGATGCTAAGAGGAAGGGAGGGAAAGACTAACTGTTACAGTGAACAGAAAGCGTGTGGCGGGAAGAAAAGCACAGCTGGGGTTACAGGTGTGTTTCACAGAGCTCACAAAAGTAAAATGTGCAGTTGAACCAGAGAACCAGTACATCATCACCTAAAGAAAATTTAGTATTCCCCCAAAATTCTAATCTTGCCTGCCAGGAAATCAGTGTTAACTGCTTGGTATGTCTCCTTCTATGCCTTGCTCTACGCTTTGACAAAGACTTTTCTGGTTGTTGTTTTTTTTTTGTGTGTGTTTTTTAATCCTCACCCAAGGAGTGAGGATATTTTCCCCATTGATTTTTAGTGAGAGTGGAATGGGGAGAGAGAGAGAGAGAGACATCGATGTGAGAGAGAGACATTGATTGGTTGCCTCCCACACACGCCCCTACTGGGGGCAGGGATGGAATCTGCAACCCAGGAACTTGCCCTTGACCTTGAATCGAACCTGTGACCCTCTGGTGTGCAGGCCAACACTCTAACCAAGGAGCCAGTGCTCTTCTGTGTGTGTGTGTGTGTGTGTGTGTGTGTGTGTGTGTGTGTGTATGTGTGTGTGTGTGTGTTTTAAATAAAAAATTCCTTACTCATTTCATACAATACTTTCATCACATAACAATGTAATGGACGTCCCTCCAAAACAGTGCATACAGATGCAAATTTACCTCCTAAATTCTTGCACATTACTCGACAGTGTGGAAGCTCCATGATCCACTCAACCAGCCTCTACTGATTCATTCTGTTTGTAGTTTTCTCCACTGCAAGCAATGCTGCACTGATCATTCTTGCTTTTATGTTTACATGATGGGTTTCCCAAAGTGGGAATCCCTTTTGGGTCACCAGGTGTATGCAGTTTTTATTTACACAGATTACTTTTACAAAAGGTTGGAATTCTTACTTTCACTGATGATCACCCTCTTATCAGCACCAGATCCTTATCAGTTGCTATTGTTCTACCAGGCTAATGTCTTTCATTCATATACTTTTTTTCTTCTCTCTTTAGCAGAGAGGAAGTAGATCTTCCCAGATACAAGCCTCATGTGGTAGATGCAAGAGATGATTCTAATACACTCACCATGGAAAGAGCAGAGAGGTGAGTTTGGAAGGGTGCGTAAACAAAGGGCTTGAGAAGAAGGTGAAGGATGGTGGTTGTCTTATTGGCTGTAAGTCAGAGGAATATGACTCTGCATGGGAATAGACTCAGCCTTCCCTGGTCCTGACTAGCTTCTCTTTGGACCTGAGGCTTCTTCAATTAGAACTGAACTTACAGCCTAGCTCTGAGAATCCTTGGCCAAAATTAACGTGGTGTTCTCTCACAAGTTGTATTATTTTCATTTCCTAATGTTGATGGTGCTTCTAAGAGCAGCACAAACCTTGGAGGCTGGACTCTGATCAGTTTCTCAAAGTAAAAAGGTGAGAGTCCACTGGTGTAACTTCTGGACTGGAATTTCCACCAGGGAATATGGGCTGTTTGGTCAACAGTGCTAATGCTCAGTTCAGAGCAGGAGTCCCCGCCTGTGCCTCAGAATCCCCTGCAGGTAAACGCAGATTTGCAGACCTCACAGCAGACCCATCAACTCTAATCTCCTAAAGTGGGTTCTGTCTTCCCCAGCAATCTGTACTTTTAGTGGGTGAATCACTCCTGTGGAGAATCCCTAGAAATGGGATCCTTCACAAAGAAAGTGTGTGGTGTCTGACACATAGTGGGCATTCAAAATATACCAGGAGGAGAAACCTGAAACTTTTTGGGTCTCCCTGGATGAAAAATAGCTATCTTTTACAATTACCATTTTGCTTTTAGTTCTAGTTTTTCTAACTAGTTCTAATCAGTAAAGAAATTAAATGCTCTTCACTGATGGAAGACCACGCCTCCTTCTGAGGGCCAACACTGCCCCATGCCAACAAGAGCCACATTTCTTTTTTTTTTTTTTAATATATTTTATTGATTTTTTACAGAGAGAAAGGGAGAGAGATAGTTAGAAACATCAATGAGAGAGAAACATCGATCAGCTGCCTCCTGCACATCTCCCACTGGGGATATGCCCGCAACCCAGGTACATGCCCTTGACTGGAATCGAACCTGGGACCTTTCAGTCTGCAGGCCGACGCTCTCTCCACTGAGCCAAACCAGTTTCGGCACATTTCTTTCCTAACTACTTTATCTGGTACTTCTCTGCTCCAGTAGCATCTTCACTCTCAGGCTCTTTCTCTTCTTGCACTGCTTGCCCAGGCCAGCTTATGTTCCGATTTCCTCCGAACTGTTACCCATTACAGAGCATGATCACCTTCACTTACACAGCAATCTGGGGCACTAGAGGGATAATCAAAATGCCAGAAACATGCACCACGGAGTCCAGTCAGCATCTCCTGGTGGACACTCCACTCTGCAACTTCAATGCTTGATGCTAGTTCACTCTAGATTCTACACACAAGGAAATGCTCTCAAGTTCAATTGGCTGTTTTGAGAAAATGGCTTATACGTTTGAAAATAGAATGCTTGCTTATTATTGTATCTGAAAGTCCTGGATGAAATCACCCATCCAAACACAGGAAAGGAGAAATGGGGCTTTCTCCTTTTTAATTTTCACCAGCTCAAACCATCCTTATTGATGTTTGTTTGGGTAATTTCTGTATTTCTCCAAATCACAAACTCCCCTTGATGGTCCTTCTTCAAAGCAGCCACTAAAAGCATTGGCGAGAACATTGTGTAGAACAGTAGCCCACCTGGATCATAGCATTATTAAATTCTGATTAAATACCATTATCCCTCGAGATTAGGAGTCAGAAAGAGAAAAGAAGGAAGAGAGAGGAGGGAGGAAAGGAGGCTATAGCGCCGTGTTAATCATTGAAAACGTAGGGCTTCTCCATGGCTTTCTTTTAACCACAGTCAGAACAAGAATCACCTATCCATAGAATTAATCAGCAGCTTTCCCAGTAGAAAAATAAATTATTAACTTGAAAGAATATCTCTCAGTTTCCTGTTATTCAAAGTTTTCCTGCCTTTAACCTATTTTAAAAACAGGCAATAACCCTTGACCCAGTTTTGTCCACCCACACGCAGCCCCCAAACCCCTTTGGCATAAATGTGATACTGTCAAAGCGATCATTTATCCACCTACCGGAACCAGGCACTTACATGCATAGCTCACGGACACGACCAATAGTATGGTGAAGGCCTGGGGTGGAGTGGGAACCAGGTGGGTGGGGGGCATTGGGGGAAAATGGGGAACTTCTGTAATACTCTCAACAATAAATAAAAAATTTAAAAAACGATCAGGCACTTCATGTCCATTTAATCTGTATATTTGGTTACCTCCATTTCTCAGGTGCAGAAACAATCCATCACACCAGTCCTCATCTCAGACCTGGATGTGCACCCAGGTCTGTCTGATATCAAAGCTGTCACCCTCCAGTGGTCGGCAAACTGTGGCTCGGGAGCCACATGCGGCTCTTTGGCCCCTTGAGTGTGGCTCTTCCACAAAATACCGACTTCTGCGCATGGGCCATGAAGTTTCAATTGCACTGTACGTGCGCGCCCGCATGTGGTATTTTGTGGAAGGGCCACACTCAAGGGGCCAAAGAGCCGCATGTGGCTCCCGAGCTGCAGTTTGCCAACCACTGCCCTACACCATGTGGCTTCCCTGTTACAACCTTTGTGGACCCCCAGTTTTGAGAGCACCACCTGGGGCCGAGGGCCGTTCTGCCTTTGTCTGGGTGTGAGAAGACCTTCCCTCACCTGTGCACACACTGCTGGCCGAAAGAAGTTGTGTGTGGTCAGCGGTGTAGTAAAAGATGGCGGCCCCTGAAGGCCTGGGTTATGGTCCCAGGCCCACCACATCCTGCCTCATTGACCTTGTGAAGAGTCTCATATAGACAAGATGGAAAAATAGATATGCCTTTCCCACAGGGTCTTTGCCAGAATCAAGCGAGATTGAGAATGAGAAAATCTTTATAACATGCCAAGTGCAAGGAAAAGGTGAAGAAGTAATAGAAATTTCATTTAAAACATCAGTTTCTGTCACCTTTCTCTTTGCAGATTTTGCCACAGTGACGGAAAGGTGATGAGCTTGCAGAGCATGGACTGCTGGCTACCAGGGGTCGGGACTAGGTGAAAAAAATGAAGGATTACAAGTACAGATTGATAGTTACAGATCAGTCATGGGTGCCAGGTGGGTGCTGGAAACATTGGGGGAATTGCTCTGTAAAGTATATAATTGTCTAACCACTCTGCTGTACACCTGAAACTAATACAGAATAATAGTGAATGTCAACTGTAATTAAAAAATTAAAATTAAAAAAATAATAATTAAAGAACACATTAGAAAGAAACAGCAGAGACATGGGGTTTGGTGAGGGTGAGGCCTCGATTCTCTTCCAGCCCTTTTCATTCTCTGACCAGACCATGAGCTCTGGGAGAGATACAGCTCCCGTGACCCTAACTTCCCATCTGCCCCAGGAAAGAGTTGGACTAAGGACTCCAGGAGCCCTTTCCGCCTCCTATCCCACAGTTGACTTGAAATTCACTTCCTCCTCTCACATCTGCACACCCAGAGAGGAATGGTTTTCAACATTGGCCTTATAGTGGAATCATCTGAGGAGCTTTTTAAAAATACTACTGCCTGTATGCCAACCCCTCAGAGTCTATGTAATTGATCTACCGAGAGTCTCAGACACCAGTATTTTTAAACTCCCAATTTGATTTAATGTGCATCAAAAGCTGAAAAGCACCACTCTTGGGAAAAAAATAAAAATGGAGATGAAATGAGGCCTTTGTCTCTCTTCTGAGCTCAGGAGGGTGTCTGTCTTCAACACACTCACCTCTGTCTCACCTGTAACAGCCAGAGGTCCTCAGGAAAAGGGAGGACAGAGAGATATGGCACGCCCATCCCACATCACCTGCCCTGTCCACGCAGGGAGCTCACCACGGACAGCAACAGACCAAGGCCAACTGACCTTTTCAGCAGCTCCATTCTACCTTTTTCCCCTCAACAAGGAGAACTGGGCTCATTAGTAAAGTATGACAGCAGAAGTCATCTTATCCATCTCTCCTTAGAAAGAAAAAAAATCTTGCTTGTCACTTTCTTAAGTTTGATGTCCTAGTAATTTGGGAGATGGGCTCAGCTGGAGACTGGCCAAAAGCACATTTCCATGAGAAAAACTCAGGTGTGTGGGGACAGCCTTCTAAATGGTGTCCCCGGAACTTTGCCATAGGACACAGCTCGGTTTAGTCACTCAAAGCAGCTGCAGTAGGCCTCTTGAAGCAGCCTCAGCTCCCTGAAGGGAGGGGTGGGGAAGGACTGAGGACTAATGTGTCCAGCTTGCAGCAACCCTTGCACCTGAGAGCTGTCCTGTGGTTGTTTGCTGAGTGTTGCTAATATTTGACAACTCATGACTTCTGGATCGGTGGACCCCTCCTCTCCTCCCTGTAATCAGCTTTGGGAGGCAGGAGGGAGATTATCCTCCTGCCTGCAGCTGCCCCCTTCACAGGCCTCCACGTAGAAAGCCTTTCGGAGGTGGCTCCCTGTGGACTCCCTGACAGCATAATCCTCCTCTCCCCTTTCGTTAATAGCAAATCAAAATAATGGGACACGTGTAGAAAAAGTTTCACGACTCCAGGCTGTTGCCTATGGCTCTTGCAGAGTGGAGGGATTATGGGTGACTTGCATTTCCTCCTTTTTATTTGTATTTTAGAATCTTCCTAAAAGAAACCAACATTGCAATGGTAAGGAGTAGTTAAATGTTACGTTTTAAAAGGAGATAACCGTTTGTGCAATATTGGTCTCAGGGGGGCCCAAACGTCCCATTTACCAGATTGGAATTCATTCTTGATAGATCTGCATTATTGGGGGTCGGGGGGTGCGGGGGGGGGGGGTGGTGGGCGGGGATGGCCAATGGCTCTTAACCATCACCAACATTCACATTTTTAATGATCTAAACCTGAACTTTCCGATGGTATTATTTTTTCTTTCTGTACATTTGGTCTACAGGCGAAAGAATCCATCTGGGAGCCAATCCACCCCAAAGACGTGAGTGTTGTGGGTAAGAAGCATGGGGAGCGGCACCTGACTGTTGGCTGAGCTCCCCAGGGGCAGCCTGTGTGGTGCTGTTAGAAGGATGTGCCCAGAGCATGGAGGTGTAAGCGAAGGTGTGAACTGTACCTGGCCCAGGTAAGTTACCTGACAAAATGCCAAATTTACACTATGAAGTTATTTATTCTTTACCTGAAATTCAGATTGAACTAGGCCTCTGGAATTTTTTACTTGCTAAATCTGGCAGCCCTGGAGCTGGGTACTCCTCTGCTGCCCCCACTCCCCAGGTTAGAGCCAAACCCATGGCACAAGGATGCCCCCACCCCCACCCCCACCTCAGCTCTCTTTCCCATTGTCCCTCCAGGACCCTGCCAAGTCCTCATCTCCGCCCCACTGCCCTCAGGCCACCTACCTTTGTTACATCTGGGACGTTAAGGGCTTTCTTTGAGTGAGCAACCCAACCCACTACCCCGATGTCCAATGGAAACACCACTTCTCTGTCAGGGACCACCAGGTTGTCCTCAAACTTGGATGTGGGGGTGACGTCCAGCAGCCTGGAGGCCACCTCGGGCGAGCCGTTGCGGGCCCGGCACAGGAACAGGCTGCAGCGGTCCGCCCGCAGCAGCCGCGCCAGCCTCTGCAGGACCAAGTGCGCCGCAGGTTCCGCGCTGCCCGCTTCCTCCTGCATGGCCTGGAACAGCTCCAAGCACAGGGCTGCCTCCTCCTCTGTGGACAGCCCGGGGGAGGACCCGCCGGCCGGGCCCTGCACCTCGCTGTGCTCGGAGGCTTCTCTCAGCCCCCCTGTCCGCAGCTTCCTGTGGAAGTACTCCTCGGCAAACCCAGGGTGGTCCTCCAGGTAGCTCTCCACAGCCTCTTGGCTGACCTCGCCCATGGCAAGGCTGGCTTTACTGCTGCTGTTCAGGAAGGAAGACCCTCAGAGCACTACCTGGGGCCGAGGGCCAAGAAGGAACTACATCCTGATCAAGGCTCCTGCGTAGATCCTAAGTGGCACCTCACTGAACCCCAAAGGCCAAGCAGAATGGTTGCTTAGCAGAGCTTTCCAACTGCCTGTAACTCTTGGGATGTGACAGAAGGTCCTGGCTTAGAGTGGGATTCAGGAAGCACAGGATTACAGAGTTCTTCAGGACACAAATCCCTAAGCATCATTAGCGTGTACGTCCTCGGAGAATCTTCAGAGCATCTTAGATCAGCCAGGCAAGCGGCACACTGAAGTGACCATTTACAGCTGCACATGCTGATTCTGCATTTAGTGGAATCGTCATACAGCTCGGAAGCATCATCAACATATCCGTGAATATATCCATTAGCATAAATTGACAACTTGAATCATTCTTTCAAGACAGCGATATGAAGTGAGAACAACCTTGGTTGTGTCTGTTTATATAGCAACTTTAATGAACACTGGGGGAGGTGGAAGGGTTTAACATCAACCCAAGATAAAATGGAATATTAATTTTTCCTCTTCCTAAAAATTCTTTGATTATCCAGGTTGCATGGCCTACTTTTTTCTCTAAAACCCTCACCTCTCAGTTGCCCTCACTTGAGAAAGCTGGATCTAGGAAGTGTTTTAAAGGAACTAATCTTGGGCTTATTACTAGAGAGGTGAGTGTGGCAAAACATTAGTCTGTGATCCAAGCCTCATCAAGCCCCAACGTAAATAATCCTTATCAAGAGACATAAGCACAAAAAGCAACCCATGCAGCTGCTAACTGGGTTTTCCTGCTAAGCGTATTAGCTGGATTTTGTTTTCAATAGTAATAGCCAGACCTCATACATTTTTGCTCTAAGGTACAACCTGTTAAATGTACTGGATAAAATTTGTCTTGTCTGTTGCTAGGATCTTTAATGTCTCAGGGACTTCTGGCCTGGAAAGTACACTTACCACTACTTAGTTTTGTTTAATGTTCAATTTATTAAGCTTTTACATTGATTAAGTACATTTTCCCAAATATTTAAACACTATTATGCAACTCATAAGTCAAACTACCCGTTTCATGAACCAATTTTCCTTAAATATTTAAATGCTGATTTCAACCTTACTCAAGATCTTTTAAGTATTTCAATAAAGCCACAATCTTTGTATTACATACTCCCTTGAACAGAAATACAGCTTTTACTTGTGAGAAACCGAAGCACAGAGAAATTAATTAACTTGCTCAAGGCCTCACAGCTAGTAAGTGATAGTGACCTGCCCCAAAACTACCAGCTTAAATAGAATTAAATTAAAGAGTGCACCCATGAGCTGTATAGCACATCATACTAGCTGCTTACAGGGGAATATACAAAGACCTTCCCGCCAAGGAATTTAAAATCTAGACTGAGATCATAAAATGTCAAACACCAACACAAGAGTTAAATAAAAATCCCAGGAACTCTTTTTAAAAGCCTACAGATATACCAAAGAATGGCTTAACTTCCTTAAACTTTCTGCTTAACAAGATTATGCTTTTCAGTAGTATACTTTATTAATAAACACACATAATATTTAATTCCAAAACTGCTAACATTTTCCACTGTGGTTAACTATTTCTATAGGAAGTAATGCTTATAAAATGCCAGAAGCCGGCCCATCCTTGCTGCTTGACACAGTCGCTGCAGGATAGAAACATCTGCACAGCATATGTTTCAAGGGACCTGGCGTATATAGCATGCTGTTCTTAATATGTTTGCTCCCCTTAGCCCTGTGTGTTTTAACCAAGGTCACCTCTCCGAGAAAGGTTGTTTCCCCAGGCAGGGATTTTTCCCTTAAGTTAGGGAGGGGATGAAACTCCTTAACTAAGTGCCAGGTGGGTAGTTAATCACTTTAACTACAAACAATCATACTTAAGCTACATAATCTTTACTCCCTGGAATGGAGATAAGAAACGCCCTAACCTTTGTAATAGAAATTGACAGGATTAAAATCAACTGGTATAAATACGGATGTAACAAGACAATAAACGGCAGAACTTCGCTGGAGATCCAGGCCAGAACTTGGCTGGAGATCCTGGCTGGAGATCCTGGCTAGGCTGCTGATCAACTGAACGCTGTCTCCGTGTCATTCCTTCTTCGCCCACTCCATCCACACCTTTGGGGACCCCTGGACCCGCTGGGGTTGGACCCCGGCAATAAAATAGCCAAAATTGTAATAAACTGAGTTCTTTTAATCACTGGAAATAAGCAAAGGGAAGGCCAAATATTATGGGCATGCCATTTGTGCATCTTTGCCAGGAAGCTACAGTAAGTGGGTGAAATCGGGAAGATATTTGCCTGTCAGTCACACCTGAGAACAGGTCATTGGCCAGAGTAGCGTGGCCACTGCCAACGCAGGGAAATTTAAGATATTTAATCTCCCAAACAAAGAGGTCCACTCTTTCACTTACTTGTGTTCTTGGGACTCTTGTTGCAGGGTCTGTGCCCTCCTGGTCTCCCTGTATTTGCTGTGAGCCATGAGGACCCCACACAATGGACTGATGGACTGCAACTAGCTAATGCTATACTGGACCCAACTCCATCACAGAAGGAAACTTTGGATGCTGACTTTGCTTTTAGCTCTGCTGAATCCCCAGCTACACATTTTCCAGGACTGGATTAAAGGAAATGGGACTTTGGAAACCCAGGGATGTAATTCCACGCAGACAAAAATCACTCATCCTCCCATGTGAGTCTCAGAAAAGTCTCTCAAGTTATTGTAAATACTTCAAATCCCACTAGCAATGGAGAAAGACCATCCACATGGTCTTTATTCCCTGATAACAGCAGGCATGTCAGGCACATCCTGGCAGCTAACTGCAAAGGGCCCTTTCACCTTGCACCTAATTGATGGATATGACCAGGCATCTCAGAGGTTATTAATCAAGTAACTAAATTGATTAAATTTAATGACAGCTTTGTTACCACTGAAAAAACCATATTGAAAAAAATTAGTTTGACTTTTTGTACTTGGACATGTTGGCTGAATAATCTTCATTTTCTCACCAATTATTTTGTCATTTTTTGAATGCAGTCAGAAGATAAATGCTACCCATTTTTTCTGTTTCTATTTTTCCTTATCTGTCAGGATATGGATGTAAATGTCAGTCTGTACAAAAGGGAGCTGGTTGGAAATGCTTAATTTTTATAATGGGAAGGGCATACATTCATTGCATCAGATCTTCTTTCAATTATGGTAAAACATTTTTCAATATTTCCTAGGAGTTAGTGGCTTGTTTGCTGATGCATTCATTAAGGAAACACTAAATCTGTTACTACAGGTAAGCCCAAATTTCAGCAGCTTAATCCAGTGAGAGTTTATTTCTCATTCACATAAAATTAATCATTGCTGGGGGTCCCAGGCTGATGGAGGCTCTACCAGTGGCCAGGTGAGGAAGGAGAGCCAGGAAAATTGGATGGGCAGCTTTCATGAGCCCTGTCTGCGTGCACACAGCACGCAGCACTTTAGTCCACCTTCTATTGACCAAAACTTAGGCCTATGGCCTTACAGAGATGCAGAAAGTGGGGAGGTTCCTTTTGGCCAATCCCTCTTCCCCAAAAGTGTACATCATGGAAGGAGAGTACAAATTTTTTTTGATAGAAGGATGGTTAGCCCCCTCTGCTACAAGGACTAAATCCTGAGAAATTATATTTTAGAAAGAATGACTGCTGACCAGGTTTTTTTAAATAAATGTTTTATTGAAGCTTACCTAAAATGACTAATTTTATTACAACAAATTAAATCAATATCTATTGATTGAACACCTACTATGTGCAAGTCTTTTTTTAAAATATATTTTTATTGATTTCAGAGAGGAAGGGAGAGAGAGATAGAAACATCAATGATGAGAATCATTGATCGGCTGCTTCCTGCAGGCCTCCTACTGGGATCGAGCCCCCAACCTGGGCATGTGCCTTGACAGGAATCGAACCTGCGACCCCTCAGTCCACAGGCCAATGCTCTATCCACTGAGCCAAACCAGATAGGGCTATGTGCAAGTCTCTGGATGAATCCATTGGAATAGTTGGTGGGGGCGGATACCAAGGTGAATGAAACATGGTCTGTCACTCCAGGACAGGAAAGAAAATGAACCTTTGTGTATATTATATGCAACATAATTTTACATGTAGAAAAAAACTGTTTTCAAAGAGAATATCTGTTTTATATTCTGATAAAACATTTTCACTGTAGGAAAATTTGGAGCCAAATGACAAAACAAACAAACCCACCTTTACAGCCCCTAATCCTATCACACAGAGGTAATTGCTGTGAACATTTTTCCCATTGATATTTTATCTATATATGCATATTTGAAATTGTATTTTATGTAGATACATTTCAAAGCACTAAAGTTAAAAACATCAGTTGACCTGTTGACCTGTATTCACGTACCGTGATCATGAAGAAATTCGAGAGAGGATGCCAAAATAAACTGTTTCCTTTGCCAGCGTCTGGGACAACAGATTCATTGATTTAGCATTAAGAGAGAGCTTGAGTAGAAGGAGGAACATTTACACACACTGACCTTTAAGCATCTAACAAATAAATGGAAACGTGTTGCTATAAAAACAACCACTATGAAAATGCATTGAAATCCCCTACATTTATTCAGTATACAGTGTGTGTAAGGACCACCAGAATATGATCTAGGACCATGGTCGGCAAACTGCGGCTCGCGAGCCACATGCGGCTCTTTGGCCCCTTGAGTGTGGCTCTTCCTAAGCCTTAGGAGTACCCTAGTTAAGTTAATAACAATGTACCTACCTATATAGTTTAAGTTTAAAAAATTTGGCTCTCAAAAGAAATTTCAATCGTTGTACTGTTGATATTTGGCTCTGTTGACTAATGAGTTTGCCGACCACTGATCTAGGAGAAATTATTGAAAGGGCTGAAGTATTAGGTGAACTTTTCTAGCATAATAGCTGTCCAAAGTGGGGAGCTCTCCGTCACTAGAGGTGTTGGAGGAGAACCTGGAAGATCTCTACTCTGGAATGGCAGAAGGGATCCAAGCATTGCACAGGAGATTGAGAGATGCCCTCAAGTCCTTTCCCACCTACAGTGCATATACTACCACCTGTGTGGCCTGCGGGAGTGGCTCTGGAGCAGACGTTATCTGAGCTGGTAGGGATTATACATCCTGTGATAAAACCAGCCTAGTCAGAAGATCTTCTGGTTAGCCCGTAGGCCAGAAACAGGGCTTTCCTAGCTCTGGGGCAGTAAGGAATAAAAGCATCATCATTGGCTCTCCAGAGGCACCAGAGACTCAAATGGGAGCAGGAGTGGAGGGGAAGGTGCAAAGTGGAAGCAGAACAGGTGGGTAGATGTCCAAAGAGTTACAGTGTGGGGGCTGAAAAACCCACAAAGTTTCCCTCCCACCTTCTAAATTCTTCTAGTTGAGCTAATAATCACATTAGCAGAGACAGATTAACAAGAGAAAATAAAAATGTTAATACATGCAAGGAATTCAAATAAGCATGAAAGTTCCAAAGGCAGTGAGGGAACAGTGGGTATATATGATATTTTGGACAAAGGAAAAAGGTTGAGGGTTAAGCGGGGCGGGGGGGGGGGGGGGGGGTTGGTTAGGGGTCTAAGATTTCAAAAGTGAGAATGGGCAATTTATAGGGAGTTAAAGAAGAGGGAACACAGGTGGTATGACAATCCCCCGAAGCAACTAGGAAACAGTGGGACACAGGGAGTATCTGGCTAGCAGGCCCCTGCCTGACGCACTCCTACTTGCCACGCTTAATTCACATTAGGCTAAGGCGACAGACATCCGAGGTCCTAAGGTTCCCTTCCTGAAGCAGGTGTTTCTCAGTCTCTTGGGCATGAAAGGAGGAGAGTCAAAGGTTCTTTTCTGAGTCTTTGTCTCTTAGTAACCAGTTAAAGGCCAGTATTCCAAAAGGCAACTTCCGGTGGCAAAACTTTAGTCTCCTTCAACAGGAAGGTGATGAAAAACCCAGGTGCCTTCTCAGGGGGTTCAACAGGAACCCCAATGCTTTCCCCTGTGGGACCATCAACCCCTTATTTCTATGTCTGGCAGCCAACCTTCTCTTCCCCAGCCCTCTCTTAGTTTGTGTCAGCAAAATGGTACAAATTCATCTCAGTTCTTTCCAATTTGGGTCATGGAGACACAACTGGCATTGTAAGGAGGGAATGTTACAAAAGGGTATTTCTTAGTCAGATCACTAATTCTCATTCCGCCAAAAGCCAAATCTTCGGGCTACTTTGATTATATTAGAGGAACTGGTTAAGTCTGAATGGAAAGAGAAAAATAAGGTGGGTAAATTGTGCCATCACGCAGACAAAAATAGCATGATGTGTCACACCGTTGTAACTTAATTGACCATTAGACGTTTGTCATAGAGTTCACCTCCTCCCTCTTGTCCACCACTCAGACAACTGCTTTAGCTGTTTTGAAAACAAAACGAAGTCCTACTACGGCTTTGAAATCGTATCATACACAATTGGTAGGTGTGTTTCAAAGTGGTTTGAGCAAAACGCCACAAAGTAGGCGACCACCGAGGTTGCTAAAATATTTCCTGTCCTGACCAGGGTTGCGTTTCTGGAGAATATTTAACAGGGAGGGTTTTAATGCTTCTAAAGATGTTGAAACGAAAGAACAAATATTGACCCACAGAGCACCACAACTCTCCTGAGAGGGAGTAAAATACATCCTTTATAAAATGAAAAACGACTTGGCCGAAATATTCCCCAACCCCTTCACAATTGGCCCTAAGAGGGCGGAGGGGCCAAGTTGGCGTAGCCAGGCCCAGGCACTGACGCACCAGGAGGCATCATCGTAGGGCCTCTCGCGCTGGGAGGCCACGGTTTTCCCGCCAGGCCGACCTGGGCCCCCGCCAGAGCCACTGTGCCGCGAGGCCACCCCAGGCCGCCGCTGGAGGCCGCTGGCACGAGTGCGAGTTGAGGAGGCCAGGCCTGTTCCCGCGGCTCGTCGCCGCTGCAGAGTTTGGGCTCCGTCGAGGCCACCCTGCGCGGCGGCTCCTCCAACCCGGGCCGCGCTGGAGGTGAGGCTCGGGCCAACGGGACCCTCCCAGCGTGCGGCGCCTGTGAGTCAGGGCGCGTTGTGCAAGTGCTGGCCCGCCGGCCCGCGCCTCCCCCTCGGCGCAGTTGCGACAGCGCGACCCCCTCCCCCCGGCGCTATAAAGCGGCCGGTGGCCCCGCGGCGCGCTCGCTTCCCTGGCTCCCTGCGCGCCCGGACTCCCGGTCAGGTCTGCGCGCGTCTCCCGGTGGTGAGCGGCGCCCGGGCGGGGACGGCGGGGACGGCACGATGGGGAGGGCGCGGGGGGCCGGCGCGGGCCGTGGGGCGGGGGGCGGGGAGGCTCCGCGGTCCAGCGCTCACCGACGGCGCGCGTTTCCCGCAGAGCGATTCCTGGGCGCGATGGAGTGGGTGTGGGCACTCGTGCTGCTGGCTGCGCTGGGCAGCGCTCGGGCGGAGCGCGACTGCCGGGTGAGCAGCTTCCGAGTAAAGGAGAACTTCGACAAGGCTCGGGTAGGTACCGGCCCGGGGGCCCCGGTGCCCGCGTCCCCCCAGCCCCGCGGCCAGCCTCACCGTGCGCGCATCGCCAAACCCGCTCTCCTCTCCTTTGCAGTTCGCCGGGACCTGGTATGCCATGGCCAAGAAGGACCCCGAGGGCCTCTTTCTGCAGGACAACATCATCGCCGAGTTCTCCGTGGACGAGAACGGCCAGATGAGCGCCACCGCCAAGGGCCGAGTCCGTCTGTTGAAGTCAGTGGCTCTGGGCGGCAGAGCTCTCTGCGCCCCGGGGTCCCCCGGGCTGGGCCCCAAACCCTGAAGGGGAGGGAAGGGAGCACCCGGGGTGGTGGATGGAGGATGGAGGGAGGAAGCCTTTGACCGACCTGGCTCAGGATCCCCTTGGCCTTTGCAGCAACTGGGACGTGTGCGCAGACATGGTGGGCACCTTCACAGACACGGAGGACCCTGCCAAGTTCAAGATGAAGTACTGGGGTGTAGCGTCCTTTCTCCAGAGAGGAAGTGAGTAATCAGCTCAGTGGGACTGCCTTGGGGGCTAGGAGGGCCACAACCGGGCCAAATCTCTGGGTTTCTTTTCCAGTGGCGCCCTTGGGAAAAACGTGGTCTCTAAGTGGCACGAACCCTGGGCACCACCTGAGGTTAGGGCATGAGATTGGCCCACCTCCCCCCATGCCCCCAGCTCATAAAACCTGGCCCAAGCTCAAAGGACCTTTGGGCTTGTGAGGCCCCCTCCTGCCATTTTTCTGTCCAGCCACTATTCCAGGGTGTGTAGCCTTCTCCAAGTTTACCACCCAGCCCACATCACCACTCAACCTGGCTTTGCATTTCCTCTATCTCTTTGGGTTGAATCCCTGGGATAGCAGAGGCTGGTAGACCCCCATCCAAGGATGTAGGGAGCATGGTGCATAGGGTTGGCCCACTGCCCGCCCTCTGCCCTGTCTCATGATGCAGAGATTCTGAGCCAGGCACAGTGCTCTTGGTGGCAATGCCCTCTTCCCTTTCTCCCAAGCACCAAAACTCAGATGGGGGGAGGGAGAGTATTGAGGACTCTCAGAAGAGCATCCTAAAACTTGGCCTGATCATGAGAACACAACATCTGTAGGCTCTTTCTACTCCGCCCCTGCCGCCGCCACCCATTTCTCCTAAATTTCAAACCTGTAATCTACTTGGTACTTAGGGAATTGTGCAAGCCGGGCGAGGGTGGGGGGGTGGGGGTGGGGGTCATGGGATCTTAGAGATAGTTAACCCTACAAAGGTTTCAATAAACAGATGAATAAACCGAGGCCAAGAGAATGAAGTGCTTTGCTCACGGTCATACAAGTTTGTGAGAGTCAGTGTCAGAGCCGGGGGTTCCAGCTCCTGGGCCAGGATTAGGTGGCCCTGAGCAGCAGGGACTCCTAATTTACAGACCAGCTTTTACAAAGCATCGGTCTCTCCTGTGGGGTAGGCCACAGGGGGCTGTTTGAGGGGCGGGGGGGGGGGGGGCGGGGGGCAGGGGGTGACTCTCTTAGCTGGTCGTCCAGGGCAGAAGCATTCTTTACGTGGCCCATCACTCTACACAGGGCACATACACCTTGACTTCCTCTAAAGTTGTATATTAGATAAAAGCGCGTGCTTTATCTAATGTAGCTTCAGCTCTGATTTACACTGTACAGATGGCGTTGTTATCTTACAAGGGGTAAAAATCTCTTATCCTTAGAAGTAATCATAATTATTACAAACAATGAAGCAAAACTTTCAAAAGTGAATCACATAGCATGAAATATATACTTTTCTGATGATGCGTTACAAAAGTCAATACCGGAGTACAAGATTACTTTCTACAAAGCATAAACACATAATTCTCAGTGGCATTTTGAGATGCACTCTTTGAAGGACTAGGATCCTATTGGTACTGCATTTGGGCAGGGTAGAGAAGGCCCCATGAGCAAGAGGGTTTTGCCTCTTGCCTTCTCCTCCCCCTTGAGAACTAACCAGATTTGTTCTGCCCTTACCTCTTGTAGATTGTGGTTCTATCTATGATTTCATTTAGAGAAAAAGCATTGAAATCTTGAAAGTGATTGCTATGATATTGAGATAACTATGGAAGGTGTAAGGATAAATTCCTTCTCAGGGATTTTTCAGAAAAGAAGCTGTGCAGTGTAGTGGTTAAGCGCGCAGTTAAAGTTAGATTGCCCGAGTTCAAATCCTACTTTGTGGGACCTTAGATACGTTCCTTATCTTCTCTGTGCCTCGGTTTCCTCACCTGTACAAGGAGGTGATCATAGCACCTGCCTCATGGAGTTGTGTTATGGGGAGGCCATGAGTTAACTGTGCAGAAAGCACTTAGCACAGTGCCTCAGACATGCGTTCTCTCTCCGTGTATATTATTACTGCTTAGCTCTCCCCAGTCATGAAATAATAGCTTGATAGTCTGGGTCCGGGATGATAGGATCCACAAAGAGCATCGGATTCAAGACTCTCATTTTCCAATGAACAAATTAGAGAAAGCCCTTCCCCCCCCCCCCCCCCCCGTTAACACCCAGTTTTATTAAGGTTTAAACATCCAAACATTTTACAGGCGACGGAGGCCTACTCAGAAACGAGGCCTCCTGCGTTTCCAGCGTAAAGGCGCACACACACACACACTACGCGCACAGTCCAGGCAGCAGGAGTCTCTATTTTTACTAAAAGAATCAGGCATTGAGATCTTCGAGTTAGAGAGGTGGCTAGCCTAGGGCCACACAGCTAATCACTCGGGTCCCCAGGCCTCAGACTCCTCTTTGACAAGGCCTGCTGGGTTTTTCAGGTGATTAGTCAGAACTAGCATCACACCACCGTCTGGCTGGCCACCTGGACAGTTAGACCTGAGAACTGCAGGGACCTTCTCATCACTTTAGGAGATTGCAAGACACAGGCGTAGGGAGCTGGAGAGACACATTCTAGGCCCACCACAGGAAGCCAGAGTTGGCTCCCTCAAACTGAGTGGGTTTTTTGTTTTGGATTTTGGACTGGTAATCAAAACCTCTGGACCCATCTGTAGACACAGAGGCCTCCGTATGGCCACTGTCTCTACTCTCCCTGGCTCTGCTGTGTGCGGATAGCTGCCATCCAGAAATGTCTGGGGCGTCTGGCTCTTCAGAGGGACCCACCCGAGCAGCTGGCAGTGAAGAGGTGGGAGACGTGAGCTCACTCTTTCTAGGATGGCTCTGACAGTTCATCTCTTTGTTTTAGGAGGGAGAGTCGAGTAAAGATTGTTAGAGTTTAAATTCTTCATCTCTGCACTAGTTAGCCAAAAAAGAGCCTGGACATAACACCTAGCCAGCTTAGGCCTTTTATAAAAGTCAAGAAGGTAGCCAATTTTCTTAAAGCTGAGCTTTGAAATTTACTTATTTCCTATGTTAGGATTCCCATTCTGGCAACAACTCTGGGGAAAAATTAAGCTGCAGATTTGCTGAGCTAATAGCTGCCTGGATCATGAATCCGGGTCATATTTCAAAGCACAGCACTTTTGTGTCTGAGGGGTAGGCTGCTGGGCTGCCTGTGACTGAGAGACACAGTGAGGCCCATAACCAGGGAAGAAATGATTTCATTCGGAGAGAAGGCAGACTCTGCCCAGAGCCTGCGAGGGGAGCTGGTGGTTAGGGTGGGGCTCAGCAGGCAGCCCCTTGGCTTCTGTTCCTGGCCCACCTGCTGAATAACTGCAAGGCCACCCCTGAGCAGTCATGTGTCTGCGCACCCCCACCTGGCCCCTGACACTCTCTCTGTGGTTAAGCCTGGGAGGTGCAGGGGTGGCTCTTTCTTCCTGGGGGACCTGGAGTGAGCTGAAGAGGGGCCTCCACCACCTCCTGCTCTGCAGGCCTCCTGCAGGGCCTGGGCTGGGGCTGAACTCCTACTGGCTGGCATTCTGTGAGCCAGAAGGCACAGCCGGAGGTGACGTAGGGCAGTGTTAGCCATCTCCCTCACAGCCTCTAATGCTGGGGAATCCAAGACCGCTGCAGCCTCCAGTGCAGAGCGCGACACAGGGCAGAGATGATCACTTGTTTCATGACCCACATGAGATAGAGATGCAAAGCCTTTTTGTTTCTTGTTTCCTCTGCTCCTAATTTACTTGTTGCCTGGAGACAACGTGGTGTAGAGTTTATGCAAGTGGGCCCCTGAGTCCAATGGAAACCCAGTTCTGCCCTGCTCTTTGGGATCCTGGGTGAATTATTTAGTTTCTCCGTGCCTCACTTTCCTCATCTATAAAATGGGGGTGATAGTGTGTACTTTTTGGTTCATGTAAAAAGTAACTGGGGGCGAAAGGGAAAGTGTCTACACAATGACTGACATGGCTAAGTGCTCAGAAAGCCCTATTCATGGTTATGTGTCAATGAGAATGTTAAATTAAATAGAGATGTGGCACTTTTTTTTTTTTTTTTCCTTTTTTTTTTTTTTTACCATATATAAGGTATTTGGATAAACCTGAGTATTGTTTCTCCATGGCAGATCCTTCACATACATCCTTATTTCCCATCCTGCCTTTGTTGGCATTGGCATTTCCCCCACCTTCATGTACACTTATTTGTGGCTTATACCCCAGTCTTAGGAATAAATATCTAAATTTTTCATTGACTTAACTCTCCCTCTATCAGAGGAGTTCTGACAAGTACAAGCTCTAAAAAGAATACTTGATGACAGATGGAAGGCATCATGTGCCCTTCCCCCTCCCACCCACCCCCAAAGCAAAGACTATTCCTTTGCCTGCTAGGAAAAATGGGCAGGGTTACTAGACAGGAATTAGGATGGAGCCAGAAAAGCCATGAACCAGGCCATCAGAGTGGCCTCCTCCCATGATTGAGAGGCAGGAGGGCAGCATGGTTACTGAAATGACTGGGAGCTAGCTGATAGAGACCATCTCAAGAGATATATCCAGATGTTGAGATAACATAAGTTGGTGGCCATCAGACATCAGCCCTAAGGCATAGCTGTTGGGGGATTGATGGAGAAGACACAGGAGGAAGATCTATTCCATGGTTTTGATGGGCCCACATGCTCAGTTGTTCTTTAAAAAGATGCTGTCACATTTGTCATCAGGGGGAGAGATAATCATTGAAGTGAATGAGGATCCCCCAAATCAAACTTTTTATCTGTAAACAAGAACAACATCCCCAGACTTATAAAAGCTGTCAGAATTCTCTGGGGTCTCCTGCTCCTAACACAATGAAACCAGTTTCAGGAAGCCGCTGGCTTCTCAGTTTGGGGAGTTTCCCTGCGGGCTGAGCCGGCTGAACGCGAGGCATTGGCTCTGTTTCTGGCTTGCAGATGACGACCACTGGATCATCGACACGGACTATGACACCTACGCCGTGCAGTACTCCTGCCGCCTCCTGAACTTCGACGGCACCTGTGCTGACAGCTACTCCTTCGTGTTTGCCCGCAACCCCTACGGCCTGCCTCCAGAAGTGCAGAAGGTCGTGAGGCGGAGGCAGGAGGAGCTGTGCCTGGGCAGGCAGTATAGGCTGATTATGCACAATGGTGAGTGGGCTGGTGGGCAGGAGCCCGGGCAGCAGCCAGCTCTCCCTGAGGGGTCGGTGGGCAGGGAGTTTGTGCCCACCTGCCGGTGGGATGTGTTTCATCTGCCTGCAGGAGAAAACAGGGAGCCTTAGAAGCCCCTGGGAGCCCAAGTCTTGGCTCTTCTCAATCAGATGTTTCAGTGGCCTCATCATGGGGCTGATGTGGGAGGAGTGGACAAACGCCTTTTTTCAAAAACCTGGCACTTTTACTTAAGTGAAACTGCAGGGGACTCTTCCTTTTTTTCTGCCAATTTGGCCCAGTTGGTAAGTCACAGGATTTTGCCCCTGGATACTCTGCCCCAAACCCTTTTTGACTGAATTAATATTATTTGGGGATTCAGTGGCCCCAGTAAAGAGTTGGGCTGCAAATGTGGCCATTGGTGTAAAAACTTAGAGACATTATCACAGCAAGTTAAAAATGATTTCAACAAATGCTCTTCCTCTACCGTGAAACCAAATTGACCAGCTGATCTTCCTCACTTATGTTTTTGGATATTTCCTGGAATGACAATTGGGTCTTTATATAGATTCTATCCTCATCTGATATTGATCTGAAAACCAGGAACATTCTAGAAGAAAGAGTGCTGTCTACTTGAATTGACACTCACTCCCATGGAAAACTATGGCAATGTTAAAATGTAGGAAAAAGAGAACAAAACTGAACTTTTCGGTTGGTCTTCTAACTAGCTGAGCAAAACTACACCAAAACAATATGAACCCAGACCAAAAACATAAATCAGTAAGATTTTGATATTTCACCCTGGGGTGGTCTAGGCAAGGATTTCAGCATGGGCAGACTCCAGGCCAAACCCTTTGCCTATATCTCATCTATCTGATGAGAAAATAGAGGCTAAGGAAGATTACAAAAGTTTCCCAAGATCTGTATAGTAAGTAGCTGAGTTGTATGCAAACCAAAATGTTGTGGTTTTGTTTTGTTTTGGCACTGAAGCCCCTTGTGGCACCACCTGGTGATACAGGGCACAGAACATGGGGAACTTTCTATAAAATTACTAGTGGGATGGCTGCAATCAGGCACACTTTCTTTTTTTTTCTTTTGGTAATTATTTTTTAATTTTTTATTTTATTTTATTTATTTATTTTTTTTATTGCTTAAAGTATTACAAAGAGTATTACATATGTGTCCTCCCCCCCCCCCCCCCCCCCGCCCTTGACAATCCCCTGCAGACACACTTTCTGAAAAGGAGGATGCACCCTCCCCCCAACCCTTTGAAATGCAGTGAGGCAAATTTAAGACAAATAAAAAGAACAGTATTTCATACAGCAGATCCCATTGCCCCAGATAAATTCAAAGGGTTGCAGAAAAAGCCTTGAAGGTGATTATGAATTACAGCCCCATCCTGCTGTAACCTTACAAGAATGGGTCCAGAATTTGTAATCTACCTTACGCACTGGGTCCATCTTTCTGTCACTGATGACTTTGTTTTCTATATTTCAGGTTACTGTGATGGCAAATCAGAAAGAAACCTTTTGTAGCAACATCAAGGAGGTCAAGTTTCATTTGAAAACTTCCCACTTTCGCTCAGCCTTCAACTCTATTTATCGTAGTTTAGTCTGGCCCTCTCTCCTCCCCTCTTCCTCAGGAAACATAAAACCTTCAGGACACATAAAAATACATGTGGGAACAAGTGAAGCCATTTGCAGTCAGATGTATGTTTTTTTCTGGGGTTTTCTAGGGAATCGTTTGAGGCTTAGGATTCCAGACTTTGAATTATTAAAACGTAGTCTCCTGTTTCCTATGATGTGGGTGTTCATTTGTGTCCACATGTTGTCGAAGTGAGAAGTCCTGCAGATGGTTGGGTAGGATGCGCTTCTATACCCCTGGAGGTGTTCTTGCCTCCCTGGTTCTTTATGATCTTGGCCTATTCTGGTGCCTGATCTCCATTAGTGACAGTGGCTTCTCCCAACTTCCTGCAAAGGGTGTTCTCCATTAACCCAGGAAGGCCCTAGCTGCCAGCCTGACCAAGGCACCGGGGCTAAAACAGCAGGTGAGTGAGTGTGGGCCAGGCCAGGCCCATGAGCCCAAAGCCCCGGGCAGCCCAGGGCCAGGGAAGGGGCAGCATGGCTGGCTCACCTGGGTGTGTGTGAGAGGCATGGGACTGGGTCAGCTCTGGCAAACATCCCAGCCGCCCACTGTTTCTAGCACTTAATTCACTTATTTCATATGCGGCCAAAATGTTGAGGAGAGGAGGCCTTGGGCTTCCCTGAGGGAATTAGAACATGGGGCCCTCGGAAGCCAGGTCTGGGGGAAGCTCCCAGTGCTCCCTACCTGGACTTGGAGCAGCAGGAAAGAGCATGGTGGGTGGCGGTGAGCACCAGGACCCCACACCATCAGCAGTACTTGTGAACATCACTGTTCAATTGCTGCAAAGCCATTTGCCCCAGTTTCCCAGGAACTCCCAGGAGGCTTTGGTGCCAGAGTCTTTAAGTCCAAGTCCAGTTCTGACATAGTAGCTGTGTGATTTGAGCTGATTACATGGCTTTTCTGAGCCTCACTTTTCTCTTATGAAACACGGGGAAACAGTATCTTCCTGATGGGATGCAGTGAGGATTCAATTAGAGCACGTAGGAGCTGTGCAAACACTGGCCAGGCATGGCTAACAGCTATGAAATGTGTCAGGTGGGGAAGGACACCTTTTTCCCCTGTGTGCAGAGATCTCTGCATGGGTGCTGGCCTATCAAGGGCCCATGGGAGGCTCCTGGGTCCCCCACCCCAGTGTGCTTGTCCTCCCACCAAGGAAGGAGGAAACAGGTGACCATGTATGGGAAAGGCCTACCTGTATCACACAGAGCAGCAGATTGTCAGAGCCAGGCCCTTCAGCCTCAGTTTGACAACCCAGAGACCCATAAGATAGCCACACATCACTTCAAAATAGTTTTAATTCATCAAGTCTATTAACTAAAGATGAACAGAAAATCCCTGTCCTCTTGTCCTCGAGCACCATGAGACCTACTGCAGAAGAAGCTATTCAAGAAACTCCACAAGCAATGGAACTACTGCTGCTGATGTACTTGACAACAAAGCCATGTTGAGCACCTCCTATGTACCAGGCCCCAAGCTACTGCGCATTCCAAGCACGGGCCCAACTTCCATGTGATGGCATGTCCCATGGTTCTGTTTGGCTCTGGTTTCTTCTTTCTCTTCTCTCCCAGGAATAATTCCTAAAAGCTTAGACCTGTAAACACGATCTGATGACTCGCCCCATTGCACCTTCAGACCCACACTCCACAACCTGGCATCCAACGACCTACTCTCCATTTGGATCTCACTGGATTTCACACTCACACAAGCCTCAAATAAAATCCTTGGCTCTCCCACCCCCCAGGCTTCCCCCCCTTGTTGTTGGTTGGCCCACTATCCAACCAGTGTCAGTCTACAAATCTAGAAGTCACCCTTGCATCCTGTCTTTCCCTCACATTGTACATCTCATCCATCAATAAATCGTGCTTGCTCCATCTTCCCAAAGTATGTACTATGATCATTCTCCCCCGCTCCTCTGGCCTCCAAACATTGGAGTTATCCTATATCTTCTGATTTCATGACACCCAATCTCCTAAAGGGGTCCATAGCATTTCTTATAAATAAATAAAAAAGTCACCTTTGGTTGTCCTGGGAAATTCCTCAAGCATTATCAACATTAATGAACGATCCTGAGGCCTTGCGAGTCCAGGGGAGGGACCTAGAGTGGCTGTGGCCCTTCAGAGAAATCTGAGTCCGGAACCAGTTGCAAGATTCACTTCAGAAACCAGCCAGGTGTGGCTTTATATGCAGGAGATGTGATTGTTGAACAGGTATAAATAAAAATTTATTACATTCAATCATACGACAAACACACTGAAAAAGTTCATATTTCAAGAAACCCATAACAAATCCTTTTATAAAGGCTACAATGCTTTCGCTGAAGGATCTCCCCTTAATTTACTGGTGCCCTGAACATATTTGCATAGGTTACATCTTCCTAAAGCAGGGCACCCTGGTGTGAGGGTCCTGGAGATGCACTCCCTTCGAAGACACACCAGTGGCTCACCAGAGTGACCCACTCTGCCTCTAGAGAAAAATTAATTATGTGGAAATGATGGACAGGTCATTTCTCCTGAGAGACGTGTCTGTAAACATGGCTCCCTTGTCTGGGAAGAAGATGCCCCGGAAAATTTTCCTCCATTCGTTCCTGAACAGGGACATGTTGTAGAGGATGGGGTTCAGGGCCGCGTTGGCGAACGTGAAGGCCACCACCCAGAAGAAGAGTGATGGCCAGATGACCAGGTCCTGCTTGAAGTTCTGGATCAGGATGAGCAGGATGGTGATGATGATGGGGCTCCACATGATGAAGAAGGAGATCATGAGCAGGAAGAGGGTGCGGAAGAGCCGGAAGTCCTGCTGCGACACGCGGATCTGGTGGCTCTCCGAGTACGCCAGGCTCACCGTCAGCCTCCGGCGCGACGCCTTGGTGATCTGCGGGGACACAAGCAGCCGAGCCACAGTCACCGCAGGTGACAGCAGGGAGATTTGGGTCATGAGGAGCACAGGGCGCCAGAGTTGGAATCTGCTGCCCCCGCTGCACTGGGACTATTTTGTGCGGAGAGCGCATCCTTAGGAGAGATTGGTCTACCCTTAGGAGAGGTTGGTCCACCCTTAGGTGAGGTTGGTCCACCCTTAGGTTCGTTGAAGAAATGGGGCACCTGGGTGGCCCCCTGAGAAAAAAGGCAGGAAATCATCCACTTGTAGTGGACGAGGGGAAGTGAAAGGCCTGCATTGGATGGGGTAGAAGAGGGAGGTGAGAACAGAAGCACAGGGCTTTGGGCTGAGTGTGTCCTTCTCCCAGATGTATTTGTTAAAACCTAACCTCCAAAGCTATGCTATTAGGAGGTGGGGCCTTTGCGAGGTGATTAGGTCATAGGGAGGAAGCCCTGCTGAGTGGGATTAGTGCCCTTAAGGAAGAGATGAAGGGCCCTAGCCGGTTAGGCTCCGTGGATAGAGCATCTGCCTGTGGACTGATGGGTCCCAGGTTCGATTCTGGTCAAGGGCACATGCCTGAGTTGTAGGCTCGATCCCTAGTAGGGTGCGTGCAGGAGGCAGCTGATCAATGATTCTCATCATTGATGTTTCTATCTCTCCCTTCCTCCCTGAAATCAATAAAAAAAAAAGAAAAGAATCGATTCTCCTCTTCTGATAAACAGAGCACTCCTTAGAAATATTCTACTAAAAAAGAGAGAGAGAGAGATGAAGGGATTAATCTTCATTCATTGGCAGTTATAGAATAGTCATGGGGATGTAGTCAATACAGTGATATTGTAATAACCATGGAGGTGCCAGGTGGGTGGAAGATTATCTGAGAGATCATCAGGTAAGTCATATAAATATCTAACCACTATGCTGCACACCTGAAAAACAAATTAATACTCAATATCAACTGTAATTTAAAATATTTTGAATTAAAACATTAGAAAAGAGGCCCGAGAGTGCTCCCTGGACACTGCTGCTGTGGGAAGACATGGTGTGAGGTGGGCAGTCTGCAGCCTGAGGGAGGCTCTCACCAGGACCCCATGCTGGCGCCCTGATTTCCCACTTCCAGGTTCTGGAGCGGTGAGAAATCAATGTCTATTGTTTATAAGCCACGCAGTCTGCGGTATTTTGTGATGACAGTCCAAAGAGACTGAGACACACAACTTCCCTACTGTCTCTTTTTTTGAAAGAGCTAAGTATTGTTTGCACAAAAGCAACATGTGCTGAAGATACAAACTTAAACAGGACGATGCCGAAGGAGTCTGGGGTGGGGCTGAGCTTCGGCGTTTCTCATGAGCTCCTGTGCAGCTGCTGCTGCTGCTGGTCCGAGGGCCACACTTTGAGTAGTGAAGTGTGTCTCCCAGGCCCGGGGTGGTGGGTAGGCTCGGGGTGGGGGGGGGGGGGGGGGGGCGGAGGAGTCTGGCCTCCCTGGTGGCTGGGAAGAGTCCAGTGCTCAGGTGCAGGCCGCCCTGGAGATACATTCAGCATCCTGCCTTGATGCCTAATTCCAGTTGTCCTTTAAGCACAGCCAGAGGGCAGAAGGCCTGCTGTCCCCTATCACTTGCTCAGCTTTAATGGTACCCAGAGTTTTGGGGGTGAGAGGGACAAAGATTTGTGATGGTGAACAGGGGACAAACTGGTGCCTAGCTAGCACAGGATGCAATGGGGCACTGTACCTGTTAGCTTGACATGCTTTGTTCCAGCCTGCGACCTCTGTCCCCAAGGAAGAGATCAAATTTAGAATGTGTTGGTCACATGCATGGTCCTTGCTAACTCCCATTTGCTTAGTCTGGCCCCGTGTCCTGCTATAGCCACCCAGTGGGTGCTTACATGACTGGAGACATTAATGGCCACAAATCTCATTAGCAGGCCTGCCTAGGCCCATTCCACTAAGATTCTGGAATCTCAAGAGGGGAAGCAATTTGAAAGCAATTAGCGTAATTCACAGTTTGGGCAAGTTTAACTAAAAGGTCACAATGGCTTAAAATAGTCTGCTTAGAATACCTGTTACTAGCTCATTAAAGAGTAGCTGTGTGTTTTATGATGAAATGCAATTGCTTGTGGCTTCTGTGCAGTAGCTTAGGTCCACCTCTTGGTGCCGGAGACCAGGGCAGCAGATGCTGAGTGAACAGAGCCCTCTCTTCCCCACCCACATCCCAACCTCAAGAACAGAGGGAATCAGGCTCGCTGGGAATCAGCCCTCGGGGAGGGCTCCCTGTGTGCCAGGCACTGTACTGTGCATTTATATTTATAAATTATCGCGTTTCATCTTTACAGCTGCTCTGTAGATTGGTACTATCATTATTTCAGCTGCAGAGATGAGGATAATGAACCCCAGGCAATTCGAGTAACTTGTTGAGGGTTACTTCACTGGTGATACCTGGTCAAAGTCCCCATCTGTGCAAACCCAGCTTAGTTGAGATAAAGACGAGCCACATCATAAAAGGCTCCAAAGGGGCTGCCATCCTCTTCAGCCCCCCCCGCCTCTGCCTGTTCCGCAGGGTGGGGCTGCCCAGGAGACATAACCCACCATCTCAGGCTCGCATGCCTGAGGTCACATTGGCACACCCAGGTCTGGAAGCTGCTGCGTAGAATCAAGTTAGAATGTGTGTGCAGGTGAAAGCTGCTTAAGCTGAGACTACCTGGGCCAACAGACCTAGGAGAGTAACTGCTGGGCAGGTTGGCAGGTGGAAGGGCTGCAGGGGAAATGCCACCACCTCTGAATAGGGGTGTCACTCTAGTCCAGCCATGGGCAAACTACGGCCCGCGGGCCTGTTTGAAATGAATAAAACTAAAAAAAAAAAAAAAAGACCGTACCCTTTTATGTAATGATGTTTACTTTGAATTTATATTAGTTCACACACACACTCCATCCATGCTTTTGTTCCGGCCCTCCGGTCCAGTTTAAGAACCCATTGTGGCCCTCGAGTCAAAAAGTTTGCCCACCCTTGGTCTAGTCCTATGTGCAGCCTGGTGGACACATAAGGAATGATTCAAAAGCAGCCTCATCGCTCGTGCTGCCCACATTGCCTGCCAAGAAGGATGAAATCCCTGGTACTTGGTCTTAGACATTTTCTGGAATGAATGATGGTGATGAAGGTTCATCCTGATTGAGCACTTATGTGCCAGGCCCTGTACATATCACTTGGTTTATCTCTTTAAATTCTCCCAGCAGTTCTGTGACATATGTACTTTGAGGATCCCCATTTTACAGATGAGGAAACTAAGGCTAAAAGAGGTTAAACAACTTGCCCAACAGCACCCAGCACTTGCAGAGCTGGGCTTCAAACCCAGCCCATGCTCTTAAACGAGTTCCTTCCCGCTCTCTACTGTCTCCAGCAGTGGAAAGCCTTTGCCCAGCCTGTAACTCCAAGCTCCAGTGCCAGGAGCTCTGAGAAGGAAGGCTTCCCGGTTCGTCTGCTCGGCACCAGCGGTGCTTTGTTTCAGGCAGTCGCATGGCACCTGCCACATACGCTGAGTGACAGATGCTGGAGCGTCATTCTTGCCTCTGAACCCCAGCTCCCTGGGTGCCGGGCTGCCCTGTGGCTTCTGTGCCTGACAATGACTGTGAGCAGACAGACAGACAAATTGGACTGACTCATGAGCCAAGTAGCTACGTGGTTGCGTCTTTTTTTAGAACTGACTGCTGCTACTATTTCCTTCTGGGCAGTTTCTGCAACTTCTGGGGAGTGAGGAGGAAAATGGGCCCATTATAATGAAAGGTGGCTCCTCCTCTTCTCTCTTCCCCACATTAGATGACAAGACTTGTCAGCTGCTACCCAGGGCTTTCAGTGTCCCTGGCATTGGGCAGAATGCTTGATGTGCTTTGAAACTAAATGCTCAATTCACTTCTGAGGATTAACTTTAATCCTTAAAACAAGCCAATGGGGTATGTTCTGTCATTACCCCATTTAGGAACAAGAGACGAGGCTCTGAGCAGTGAAGTGACTTGCACAAAGCCTGGAGACCAAGTGGGAGTGTGGACCTGGGTGGGGGAGTTCCTCACTGGGCACTGCTGCAGGGAGAGAGGACAGCGCCGGGAATGTGGTCCACAGCCACCTGCATCAGTCACCTGGCACTTGATAAAATGCACCTGGTTGGGCTGCTTTCACACACTCTGCTTCTGTGGGTCTGAGTAAAGCCTAGAAATCTACACTTTCATAAGCTCCCCAGATGAGTCTCCCCACTAAAGCACGAGAACTACTGATCTGGGGCAACAGACTTGAACTTTCTCCCAGACCTTTGAGGAGTCACTTTAAAAATATATATATATTTTTTATTGATTTCAGAGAGGAAGGGAGAGAGAGAGAAACATCAATGCTGAGAGAGAATCATTGATTGGCTGCCTCCTGCACCGCCCCCACTGGGGATCAAGCCCGAAACCTGAGCATGTGCCCTGACCAGAAATCGAACCATGACCTCCTGGTTCATAGGTCAATGTTCAACCACTGAGCCACACTGGCAGGGCTTGAGGAGTCACTTGATAAATTGTTTGAGACTCGTCGCCTTCATCTGAAGGCTGTGAGGGACCCTTCTCTCCACCTCAGACCCTTAGCCACTCCCCCAGACCATGGTTGCTGACAGGTGGGTGCTGGGAGAGGTTGCTCCCCACCGACACGGCTCAGGTCCTTGAGCGCTGGGTCCCCTTGGGGGCTGCTTGGTCAATCAGCAACTTCCTAATTAGAATCATCAGACAATAGCCTCCATCCTCCCAGAAGGCCCATCTCCCTTTCCATAGCAAACAGGCCTCAGAGCTGGGGAATGAGGGTCAGACGTGGGGAATGAGGGTCATGCGTGTTCACTTCCCAGCACCTTCACGTTCAGCTGAAACGTTTTGTTTCTCAGGTAAGCTCTGAGATAGAAAAGCATTGTCCAGCTTTAAGCCACAGACTCACTCCCACGCAATAAACATTTATTGAGCCCCTTCTATGTGCCAAGCACTCGTATAGGTGCTGGATATATAGCAAAAAGCAAGGGCACCCTGTCTACCCTGCACTTCCACGTTAGTGTGTAGTAGGGAATGGGGAGGAGGAACAAGAAACATACAAACAAAGGGTAGAAGCGTCTCACCTTGCCATGGCAATGGTTGCTGGGTGACAATATAAACCAAGGCCCAACAGCTAACATGGACAGCCCGATCGAAGGTACTTGGGAGTGGCTGGGAGACTATTTCCCTGGGAAACTGTTGACTGGAAAAAGCCACTGAAGATGTATAGCCTGGCTGAGTCATGAGTGAAAAGGAAGCAGGGCAGGCAGAAGGGCAGATAAGACGGGAAGAGCCCAGGTGACGTCTACTCTCAATCCTGACCAGGGCAGAACCAGCAATGAGGGTGGGGCCTTCAGAGCAGTTTCCCAAAGGAGACGCGTGGGGCGCCAGCCCAGAGAGATGCTCTGTGGGGAGTAGAGTCCTGCTGTCAGGTTCAGCCATGCTGTCTCCTCTGACCCTGTGCTGGTGGTTCCCAAAGTACATTAACATAGTAAAGACTCTGAGAAGTCCTGCAGCCAAGAAATCCATGTAACTTTGATTAGCTTAGCATTTCCCAAACTCGTTTGATCATGGAACCCTTCCTAATATCTAACATCCCATGGAGTTCTAGAGAGTGCATAAGGGGGAACCCTGCTTTAGAGGAATAAAAGATCAGGGTGATCTGTAAGGGGCACTTCTCAGGCCTAGAGATGGAACCCGAGTTACAGTCAGTAGTGACAGGTGAAAGGTGGGGCTGACGAGAAAGGGGTACGTGGTGTAGCTTTGTGTCCCATGGCTTCACATGATTTGCTAATTGTGTCTCTATGAAGGTGGCTAATTAACACTGACATTCTATTGCTTTTACTGAGTTATGCTCTTGACAGAAAAACTCAGCAGAAAAGCTGGTTTGGTATCTCTGCGTATGGATGTCTTCAGAGGTATCCTGCCCAGACCCTCCATCCACCTGGCGGCAACTCACCCGCTTCCAAGTTACCAGCCTGGCAAACCCACAGGTGCAAAGCGAGGACACATGTTATAGTCCTCCCGGAAAATGGGCAACAGTTTTGCTAGTAAGTGAGAAGTAATTTTTTAAAAAGTCTTATATTTGCATTAACATTGTGATTTTCAAAACATTATCATTATCTGCTCTCATTTTGTTGTGCTAAACAATCCACTGGGGCCCATTTAGCTCCAGAGAAAACAGAGTGACTTGCCTAAGGTCACACAGAAATAAGGCTTGGACTAGCACCCGGGTCTTCAGACTCTTCAACCAGTGATTTTCCCACTGCCCACGAGGAGAAGGTCCTGTTGGCCCTATCAGTGCCTTACTCACTCAGTGAGTGTTCATTGAGCACTAACAAGGGATGAGCCAGGCCCCTGATCTAAGCATGGGGCTATAACAGCAAACAAAGGCTGCCCTCATGGAGCTCGCATTCCAATGGGAAAGACAGATGACATACAAATAGATACATATAAAGGGAATATGATGGGGTTGTAAGTGCTTTGAGAAGAAGTAAATAAAGAGAATTGGAGAATGATGGGAAGTCTCTGTGGGGGACAGCCTTTTGAATGGAGACCTAACTGAAGGGGAGGAATGGCCCATGCAGGAATTTGGGGATGAGAGATCTAGGAGCAAAGAAGGCAGATGCAATGGCTCTAAGGCAGCAATGTGCTGGCACATGGGAAGAATAGCCCCAAAGCCAACATGGACACAACAGAGGGGAGAAGATGAGGTGAGAGGGGCAGGCAGGGGCCAGATCACATAGAACCTTAAGGAGGTGTCTCCTAGCCAATTCATCAGTCTTCTGGGACTCTGCATATAAACCCAAGGCCAGCCTTCAGTCCTTCCTATCACAGAACCCAGGACAGCTCCTGGATGAAACAGAATATCTATCACGACTCACAGTTGTGAAATGGTGCCCTGAGTGATGGGGCGAAGATACAATTAGATCCCCTCACTTTCTTTACACATCCCCCAACTCATCAGGGCTCCTGGGGTCTCCTAGAATGTTCCAGGTGGGCCCTTGCCTGTGAAAACAATGAAGGAATGAAGGGGTGAGTAGGAAACCTTTTCTTAGAATAAGTCAGTCCTCCCTCTTGGCAGCTGAGAAGTAGGAGACATGAGTGAAAGGAGAAGGCCAGAGTCCTCTTGGCTTCTAAGGAACTCTGGAGCCAGGCGACCTTGCATTTTGATACTGCTGCTTATGAGCTGTGTGGCCTCGGGCAAGTTACTTAACCTCTCTGTACCTTGGTTTCCTCATCTGTCATTCTTAGCAGTATTGAATGAGTTAGTTCCTAACACACTATAAACACTACATAAATATTTGTTAAATAATTTTTAAAAATAATTTAAAATTATTTCTACATCTCTATACATTTTACATTTCCTTATCCCCTCACTTCCTTTAACATAACAGTAATAGCAAACACGTACCACATAGCACTTACACATGCTAGACACTGTAGCAGGCACCTTACAGACCTTAACTCTAGGCCTGAACTGACCTCATGCCCTTGAAAAGCCCCAGAAGGGGTCACTTGAAGGAGGGTCAGAAGTCCACTGATGGGGGGGAGTCCAGGGGATACCACGGGACCCAGGACTAGCAGACTCGGATGGAGGTGCGGCTGGCTTTGGGTTTTGAGCATCTAAACGGTGACAGATCTCAGCTACAAAGCAAGAGCCATAAAAGTGGCCAGACAGCAAGCAGGACCTACAGGGCCCCACTTCAATATCCCTGTGTGCCAGTTGACCCATAATATGCTGTAAAACCAAGATCGGACAACTGTAAACCTCTGAGAGGACTCAAAGGCTTTGCAGTAAACCTTCTCAAACAGGCACAAACACACATACACATGATTGACCTGGGCCAGCACATACATGTAAACAGGCTGGCAGGTCTTTTTACACCCCTACATGCTTGCTCCGAAGGCAGAGGCCAGGGCCTGTGTCAGCGGCTTTGGAAAGGCACATTTCCGGGGCTGGGGGCTAGGGCAGCGGGTGCAAGGAGAGTGGTGGGAGCTGGGGACGGTGCTGTCTGTCGTGCTGTTTCTGGAAGCTGCTCCGGGAGTGGGGTCAGTTTGCAGGCTGGGTGTGTATGCTGGGTGTGCTTTTCTGTATGTAGATTATGCGTCAATAAAACATTTTAAAAGTGTGTGTTCTCTCACTACATTGCTGTGTGTGGTAGGGAAACAAGGACACAGTCCTAAAGCCCATAAAATAAATTATGTCACAGCTGTATGACAGAAGATTATCAAAATAATGAGGCAGAGATAAAGGATCTGATATGGGAAGATGTTATGACAGAGTGTTAATCGAAAAAAGAAAGTTAAGAAACAGATAGTAGTATCTCAAATCTGAAAAATAGTTGATATTTGATCATTTTATATGGTTTATCACATACATAGAAAAAAACTATGTCTATATGTAAATAACTTGGAAAAACATACAATGAATTCACAACCGGGGTAGCATAGATTTTTAGTTTGTATGTTACCCATTTCCATATGTCTTTAATTTTTTTGTAATAAACTTGTATTTAGTGATTAGTGACAAATAATAGCCATCATAAAGGTATAACTTTTCTTTTTGCAGGAGGCGTAGATCTCAGCAGTGAGCCAGAATTGGTAACTTCTGGCTAAGGTAACGTCTAACCCAGAAATGCTAAGACGCCACCTGAGCGCAGGGCAGCTGCGGTCCGGAAGCACACGTACCTGTAAAATTTTGGAGTAGCTGATCACAATGAGCAGTCCTGGCACCAAGAAGTTCAGGGTGACGAAGGACACATCCCAGGAGATTTCTCCGGCGATGCTGGGCCAAACCAGTGTGCAAATCAGAATTTCCTAGTCACAAGAAGGAAGAGAAGGTCATTTAAATGCTGGCTTCTTCTTTGCCTTACGCTCATTCCAGCTGGGGGTTTACCTGGCACTGTAACACTGTTGTGTTAGTTACACTACCACACAACTGACAAGAAATCCCAGAATCTCTTCCACGGCCCACGCAACCCCACTTACAAATCATTTGCCTCTGACCTCACCATCACTATCATTATTATTCCCGTTCTCCAGGGGAGGCAACCGGGCCTCAGGGTCACAGGCTGGTAAGAGCCAGAGTTAGTTCCCAGGCATGACTCCAAGCCCAGTGCTCAAGGCAACAGGGTCCACATTAAGGCATAGAGTTCATTTAAAGGCTGTGCAAACGTCTACAAGCATCATGCTGCATCAGAGAAGGGCATGGCTGACGCCAGGGCAATGCTGGTGCCCAGACTCGGGAGTTCTGTCTGGGGGGGCCTCTCCCCAGAGGAGCACACGGCAGCCCCAGAGCAAGACGCAAGCACAAGTCTCCATCAGTTCAAGTGGCGACCACTGGAATGTGGCTAAAGAACCTGCAGGCGTGACCATGCTGCTGCCACTGTGTTGTGTTGAATTCAAATATCTGGCATTAATACAGACCCCCAAACAGCAGGACATTACTGAATAGTCAAGAGGTGCTGCAACAGTGTCCTCTGGTGAATAAGTAGGCCAATGAAGATTCCTATCTATCTATCTATCTATCTATCTATCATCTACCCATCCCTCCTCCCAAACACAAATATCCTGTGCCCGCTTCACTATAGGAACAAAACTGTTCAGGAAACAAGTTGCTCTTCCAAACACGTGACATAGGTTTTGAAAAGTATATTTGTGTAAAAGGACCGTATTATTGATTTCTGGTGAACAAGGCATCTTAACCACTGTCCAGAAGAAATATTATCATCCATAGCACCATTCATTCATTCATTCATTCATTCAATATTTACTAAATGCTATACTAGGCAAAGGCAAAGTTTTTGTCATTTCTCAACATGTATCATAATTAGGTGGTCAAACTCAAAATACTGTCAGATAGTCCCTTCTTCTCCTAGTCCAGTGATGGCGAACCTTTTGAGCTCAGCGTGTCAGCATTTTGAAAAACCCTAACTTAACTCCGGTGCCGTGTCACATATATAAATTTTTTGATATTTGCAACCATAGTAAAACAAAGACTTATATTTTTGATATTTATTTTATATATTTAAATGCCATTTAACAAAGAAAAATCAACCAAAAAAATGAGTTTGCGTGTCACCTCTGACACGTGTGTCATAGGTTCGCCATCACTGGGCTAGTCAGTATCAACAAAGCACTTAGTCCGCACCAAGTAACACTTACATTATCTCATTGGGTGTTCACAACAACCTTATGGAGATGTATTATTACTATTTTTTGAATTACACAGAGGAGGAAACTAAGGCTTAGAAACATACTCCTCAAATAATATAACACTAATGATGCAGTCCTGGTGAATCATATATTTTCCCTAAAGAGCTAAGACCAGCTGTGGTAGACAGTCAGACATGAGCAAAACAAGGACGATGGGCCAGGCACAGAAAGTCACCAGGGCAGAAAGCCCCACGTGCCTAACAATTAGCAAAACTGGGAAAACAAGAACCTCACCCCAAGGCATCCTTGGTTAAATGCAGTGTTTAATTTCATTTTAAAAATTAAAAAAAAAATCAGCAAGGACCAGGCCCAGAGTCACAGCTCTAACTCGATGTTATAATTGTGTTTCTATGGGAAAGTCTATTTGACGTAAATCATTTTGATTCTAGGTATTCTCTCCCAGGCTGTGACTCACAGGAGTTTGGCAGCGAGTCAAATCTCGAAGGTGGGGGCAGAGCGTTATAATATTCTCTGCATGTTTGAAATGTTTCCTGATTTTAAAAAGGAAATTTGAAAACCCAAAGTGCTAGGCCTGCTTTGTTACTGAGCTACAGAAGTAAAGCTGGCTGAGTCAACAAGTGTCCTTTAATTCGTTTGTTCAACCACTTATTGACCCAAGCCATGGTGGCTGAGCCACGGTGAGGCCACGGTGAGTGTGGGCTTGGTCTCTGCAGTCAGGGAGGGAGAGGCCCTAGGAAACTTCAATGCAGGGCATTGAGCTGGAAGCGCCCAGCAATCTACAGGTGACAGGAGAGTGGAGTCACCTGGCAAAGCTGCATCCTGGACGTTTATGTCAGCTGTGTCTGACAGGATGGGGTTTCCAGAGAATGGAGAAGCTGGAGCTCAGTGTCAGGACCAGAAGGGATGAAGGCAGGAGACCAGGCACATGTGGTTAAATGTGACTTGCATCCTCCCAGCCCAACCTCCACCCCTCCCTAAAACACTCATTCATTCCCATGGCTTCTTTTTGCAGATGATGCTGAAATCTAGTCCTTTCAGCCAGTCTTCTTCTGAACCCCAGACTCACCCCACTACCCCGAGGACATCTCTGCAGGATGCCTCACAGGCACGTCAAGCCTCCCACCTCCCACTTCCAAAAGCTTCCACCTCCTGGAGTCACTGACTCCACATGGAGCTGCCATTCCCCAAGCTGCCAGGAACCTGAGTACTAGCCTTCTGCCTTCTGCCTCCCCGCTCAGAGGGAACCTCCGAGTTCCACCTCGCAGCTATCCGACCCACCCACAGATCTCATTCTAACTGGCCACCCCTCCCAGACCAGGCCATCTCTCCCTGAAGAGGTGTACCTGGCCCTTCTCCAGCTGGCCCCTGCCAACCCTCCTGGCACAATCTCTTGCTCACTATGGGCTATTTCCTGTGCCGGCAATGTTCCTTCAGCCCCCCACATCCTTGTCTGGCTACCGGCCTCTCATCTTCACACTCCGCTGGGTCTCATTCTTGCCCCTGTGGATAGGGACCTCTTCCCACAGGCCCTGCTCAAACGCCGCCTTCTCCCCACACTGGTTGAGCTACAGGCAAATGCCACCTGATTCCAGCTGTTCCCTGTAAGCTTCTCTAATGATTCTTCTGATACTTTTTTTTAAGTATTTTAAAATTGATTTTGAGAGAGAGAGAGATCAATTTGTTGTTCCACTTATCTATGCATTCATTGGTTGATTTTTGTATGTGCCCTGACTGAAGATTGAACCTGCAACCATGGCATATAGGACTATGCTTCAACCAACTAAGCTACTTGGCTAGGGCTCTAAAGACTCTTCTGGAACACCTTGGGGATCACTTCATAAATCATCCTTCCTGTCCCACCTCTTCAAACAAAAAATGTAAGACTTCAAGGTCATTTTAAGGAACTTCAAATCCTACTTGCACATCTCCTCTCCGATTAGCTTCCCAACAGAAAAGACAGAAAATACCAATGCAAATGATAGACTTACTGTCGTTTATCTTAAAAGCATCCTCTAATGTTAACAAAGGCAAGCAAACTGTTTCCTGAGCCAAACCCACACTCAATAGAGACACGATGGCATTACTGGCCTCATATTAAATCCGGGCAGGGTGGGCAGTGGGACCAAGGCTGCCAAGTATGAACTCATGAAAATGACACCAGGAGGAACAGACTGACCCCGGCTAAATTCCAGTTCCATCTCTTACCTGCTTTATGATTTTAGGCATTTCTTCCTCCAGGAAATAAACACAAGAACACCTACTCATGGGACTGAATTCTGCCAGGGTCCGGGACCATCTGCATGCTCAAAAAATGCACTTCCTTGAAGAGGCTGAGAGTGTCTTGGGCATGTAACCCAGGGTGAGGGCAGGGGGAGAGGTGCTCAGCAAATGTTTGTAGAATAAATGGGCTGCACATTCTGGCCAGGGTGGACAGTCCTCCCCAGCTGCCAGTGAGGGTCATCGCCCCACCGGGGCCACGGCACACACGGGCAGGAATGCCGTTGATACAGGCTGAGCTGACCTGGATGAAATGTCTAAGTTACTAGGATGTGTCCACCCTCTGAAAATGGCAGTCTATTATTTTACGGCAATCAGAAGAATTACACTGTTTAAAGACTGTTTAAAATATTTCTAACCACAGATAAGGAAACTAATAATAGCTGGTAATTTTTGAGCGCTTAACCGTGTCTGTGCCAGATGTTGGCCCACTTACTGAATATTAGTCCCCATAACAATCCTAGAAAGTGAGAATCTGTTATCAGGCCCATTTTGCAAATGAGGAAGGTGAGGTAGAGAGATCAGGACCACTCGCTTGCCCCTGTCACACAGCTCCTAAATGGCAGAGATAGGATTCAAATTCACAACATTTGACTCCAAAGCCCACATTCGTCATACCAAATTGTGCAGCATTTTCTGAAATGTCCATTATTTCACGCTCCCTTCAGGGAAGTCACCCTGAACTGCTTGCTGGGTTACCCTGGACTGCTGGGCACCCACTGCCCAGATGGACAAAGGGAATCACGTTTCTGATTTGGTGGGGCTGGGGGTTGGGGGTCCAGGTAAGCAGAAAGCCCCCTGGCCAGTGCTCCTTGAGGGCAGAGCGCCAGCTTGTGCTCTGGGTCAGTTAGTTCATTCTCTGTGCCTGTGGTTTGGGTAGGAAATGTTCTCCATCCACAACCTCCATATTTCATGTCCAAGTGGGAGGTGGCAGGCCAAACCTACAGCCAGGAATGGGCAGTAGGGGACTGAGAAAACAAGCCTGTGCTGATTTTAATATGAGACTTAGTTCAGTCTAGACCAGATCCTTCTCTGTCTCTCTTTTTTTAATGGCCACACTCCCTTTTGTCCCCCCATTTCTCACTCTTTTTAACTTACTTCTTAAACCACTGGGCCTGTTTGCTCACCTATAAAAAGAGATGTTTCCTGCACGCTCAGGGCACAGCCTTGGAGGAACGAGGGTTTTTTCTGTTTGTTGGCTTTCTGGCAGGTGCAAGGGTGGGGGCAGGGGGTTGGGGGAGGGAGGCATAACACAAAGGGGAAAAGACGAAGAGGATGGAGAGCTGGAAAGGACTGTGGAATTCTCATTACATGCTCCCTCCCCCCACCTCTACTAATTTCCGGGAACAGGGCTCCTGTAGCCAACTCACCTGTCCTCCAATCTCCTGCGGTGCTGTGAGAACCCAACTCTCTCCCTGTGGCTTTGCCCAAATCCCTCTCCTAAGGCTCTGAAGACCAAGGAGTTGTTTTCGAATTAAAATCAGAGGGGTCTGTGTGCCCTGCCCAAGGGGAACGGAGGGAAGGCCACCACCACACAGATCTCCATGGGAGCGCCTTGCACGGAATTCTAGTCATTCTGGAAGCGGAATGCAGAGGACTTTGACCACATCCAGGTGCCCCCCCCCCCCCTCCCGCACCGAGGGGTAAAATACAGAGTGGAAAGACACAGAAGACAACTGCGGTGTCCATGTCGGCAAGCAGCTGTAGTCTGGGCTTTTGGCCTAGAGGCAACAAGAGCCTCATTTTTTTGTTATTTGACAGTTAAGTAGGCGTGTACCTAAAACAATTGTAAAGGGAGAGGCACAAGATACACATCTAGAAACATAAGTTCCCCTTAAGCTCTATCCTTAATTCCCTGATTTGCTATTTATTTCTGTAAAAAAAAAAAAATGGGGAGAAATCCCTCAAGTTCTGTTAAAAATACAGAAGCACTAACTCAGTGACAGAATTACTTAAAAAAGAAAAAAATCAAAAGACTGATGGTGGAACCCCAGCTCCAAGCTGATCCAATTGGCCTGGGGTGAGGCCTGGTCTTCCATTTACTTGAGAGCATCTGTGTGGCCACCTGGATTCTTAGTGTATCTGGGCAGAGGAGGACCAGCTGCCCATGAAGCTAGGGCCCTTGGTCTCCCCAGTCCAGTGGCACCCACCAGCTCAGCTAATCCCAGCTTTCCCCGCCCCACTTAAAGAGACATGCCACAGGCTCACATATTCTTCCATCAAGTGCCACAGGCCTGAGGCAGTTCCTGCCTTTTGGTCACAAAACAAACCAAACAAGCAAAACCCCACAATGTATTCCACGCAAGACAGCAACTATTAGGAAAGGGACTTTTAGGGTTGTGTTAAAAAGACACTGCTTACACAGGATGCAGACTTCTCCCCAACCCCAGCAAAAGGCCTGGGTGACAGGTCAGGGGAACCCCCAGAGAAGCCCACCTCTGCGTCCAGGCTCAGGAAGAGACACCCAGGAAGGCACTGGTCCAAGGCTCAAAGCCTTCCCCTCACACACCCTCCCCTCCCCAACCCAGCCTCCCTGCCTTCCCACCCCACCCCTCTGGCCACTGCACGCGCCTCTCTTTGGGGCTGTGGTTTGTGTCAGGCTGGCTCCGGGTTGCCCACCTTCCCTCCTCGGGCCAGGGCTGAGCTTTCATGGGGAGCGACCTCTGGAGGAAGAAGGTGGGGGAAGAACCCAGCCGCAGCAGCCTGGGCAGGCTGAGCCGCCTTTTGGTAAGGTGCACAGACCTGAGTCCTTCCCCTGCCCGCCCTCGCAAGGCGCAGGAAGACACACACACAGGGGATGGCCGCCGGAACCGCCGACCACTGTCCTCCCCAGCCCGCGCTCAAGTCGGGCGTCCCAGAGTGAATCGCGGCTCGCATACCCTGCGGGGCCCAGCAGGCTAGCGACGCAAACAGACCCGCGCCCGCGTTTCTGGGGCGCGGACTGGAGCGGACCAGAGCCAACGTCAGGAGCGGCCCGCGGAACTGTTTTTAGATAGTGGACCCACCCACCCCCACGATCCCCATGACAACTGGGGGTCGTGGCGCCCCGATAAAGCTCATGGGCCCAGCCTCTGGGACCTGCGGGACATTCCGGGCGCCCAAGATATTCTGAAACCACCCATCACCCGGGGTGCCCAGGGTAAGCTCCCGCGGGCTAGTCTCATCCTTCCGTCTTGCAGTTGGAAAAACTGAGGCTCCGGGAGGAGAAACCACAACCCGCCCCCTAGAGGCCGTATTGGTTCTGGGGTCTCTAGGTCTCTCAGTCCCTTCCTCCCCGGCCCATCCACACGCACCTGCCCACCTCCAAGCAGGGCCCGTGCCCTGCTCCTCCTCGCGCTGAGGGCAGGTGCCCCAGCAAGCTCGTCCGTGGAGGAGGTGTGATGAGTGCTGTCGCGCCCGGCGAGCGAGCAGAATTTAGCAGGATGCGATTAACCACTCCGAATCCCCACGTTCCGTCTGCTGGCCGTTAAGCCCCCGTTATTTCATTAATTTTGCAATGAAGAGTCGGTGCATGTTGCAGGCATTTGGGGGACCCCACTTGCAGCATTTTGGTGGGCGTTTACGGGACCCACATTGCACGGTTGCAGTGAAATTTAAGGGATAAACTCCATAGCGCCGGGCACGGTGTCGGACACAGTGGTTCAGCGCAGCCAATGGCCTCTTCTCGCTGCTGTTCACCTGCATCCCAGGCGACCGTTCCCGTCGGATCCCCGCCCGCCTGCCCGCCCCGACAGCTGCCCGGCTCACCTGCTCGGAGCCCGGAAGCCGCTGTGGGAGGACGTGGAAGAAGACGCAGAGGGGCAGCGCGGCGAGCGCGGAGTAGCCCCAGATGAGCGCGAGCAGCGCCGCCCGAGCCCTCGGGCCGGGGCCCCGCACCCCGCGCTGCAGGCGCACGATGCACACCACGCGCTCCAGGCTGACGGCCGCCAGCGTGAGGATGGTGACGCTGCCGCTCAGGGTCATCACGTAGAGGAGCAGATGGCAGGCGACCGGGCCCAGCATCCAGGCCTCGGTCCAGCGCACGGCCAGCACCAGCGGGATGGCGCTGGTGAAGAGAAGGTCGGCGCAGAAGAGGTTGAGCACCAGGCAGGCGGTGGTGCCGCGGCGCCGTCGGCGCGCCACCAGCACCAAGGCACCCACGTTGCCCAGCAGCGACACCGCAAAGATGAGCGCCAGCACGACGGTCTCCACGGCGCTCAGCACCAGCCGGTGGTCGCCCTTGACTTCGGAGAAGAAGGAGAAGCGTGTTCGGTTGACCCGCTCCAGGATGCGCGGGGGCCCAGTGCCCGCCGCCAGCGCGCAATCAAGGGACATGCCCGGCGGCCGGCGGCCCGCAGCTGTCTGCGAGCGCGCTCATCTGGGAGGGGACTGCGCGCCACGGCTGGGAAGAGGGAGGGAGGCGGTTGTGACACCTCCCCTCTGACCCCCTCCCGACCGAGGAGCGCCGGCGCTGGGCGTAGCAGCCGAGCCCGGGCGCGGGAACGAGGAAGTGCCGGGCTGGGAACACACCGCGGCTGGAACGTCCCGCTGGGCCGGAAGGTGGTCGTCTAGAAAGGGATTTCACGTCCACCGGCAGGTTTGGGAGCGCCCCGCGGGCTGAGAAACCCCACCTAGGGAACCCTCAGAACCCCCGAGGCCTCTCCAGCCTCTCCCATACTCCAGTGGCACCCGGTGCGCTGAAGCCCTTCATCCACCAATTTAGCTAAAACTGATCCAGGAGTGTAGGTCGGTCGGAGCAGGACTTTGGAAGTCATTTCGGCCTGCGCTGTTCAGGCTTCACCAAAGAAGCCGCAGGGGTTGGAGGGGGTAAATTCCAAAGCACCTTGCAATGGATCCAGATTTGGGGGGAGGTGATAGGGGGAGAATGTTTTTTTTTTTTTATCATTGCTTAATAACGTGTGACTTAGGGGGGTGTTTCATCTCTCTGTGCCCCAGTTTTTTAATCCACGAAATGGGAAGAATAAGACATCTGATTGGATAATTATGAGGATCATATAAAGAGATTAACGCAGCACTAACCACACAGTAATTGTCCGGGAAGTGTCATCAATTATTAGCTACTGAAATGAAAACGCACGTAAATTTTGCATTCTGAGCAATGGTATAAAATGCCTTCGAGGAAAAAGAGTGACCTTGAATAAACTTGACACCCCAGAAGGACATCCCAGTGCTCTCAGGTGCACACACAGGCTGTGAACGTGCCGCAGGCACCCCAGTTTGACAAGCAAGGAGAAATCAAACCCCCTCAGAGATGAGGAAACTATGGCACAGAAAGCAGTGACTTGTCCAAGGAGGCCCCTGGTTAGTAATAAAAAGCCATGTCCCCTCCTCTGCCCCACACATTCCCACCACACCCATGCCTGTAGTTTTCTGTTATAGTAAGTCAGGCAGTTAGAGAGTGTAAAGTGCACTTGTGGCCCTAACAGTGCCAACTTCCTCACCACCCACGCCATCACCCCCTCTCCCCTTAGCCACACTGCCAGGCCTCTCCCACTTGCCCTTCTGTCTTGTGAGTGTCTCTGTGTATTTACGAAGGGTCCAGTGTGGCAGTCTCAGTGCTTTCTGAGGGGAGGGGTGCATTTGTGGGTCTGCTTATTACTGTGTCATATGGGTCTGAGTTGACAATGTGACCTCTGACCTGAGGGGCAGTTTGCATGTCAATGGGAGATGTTCCATTTGAAGCTTGACTAACTTCAAGTTGTAAAATAACCAGTTTGCTTCCTGACACAGTTGAAAAGTGGCAAGAGATTGAAATTAAGGGAACTCAGATGGAAAGGGGCGTTGCCTGACTGGGGTCAGAGGACAATAGTTTTGTGTGAGGGAAAGGAAAGCTGTATGTATGTGTGAGAGGAGAGAGAGAGAGAGAGAGAGAGAGAGAGAGAGAGAGAGAGAGAGAGACTCTGAGAGAGAGAGAGAGAGAGAATTCCATTATCCCAGGCTGAAGTGACATGGGGACAGAAAGGTTTCCCCAGAGTGGATAACCAGGGTGAGGGCTCTGGGCTAGGACTTCTCCATCACTACCCTCCAGGGTTCTCCCAATGGTAAAAGGGTGAGTGCAGAGGTTCCCAAGCTTTCTCCTTTCCATCGCCTTCATGGCACCCCTAGGCCAAAAAAATAACCAACAGCTCCATTTGTTAGGCAGCTGGTTCCAAATGTCCTAACAACTTAGTAGGCATCTGGGTAAACAATAATTATGAATGGAAAAATAACATTTTTGTTTCATTCTTAGATAATCACAGTGACTTCCTAATGGGATGGTGCACCTGTTGAGCTCTATAAAACTGGGAATGAGATTGGGCACTGCCACCCACATTTCCTGCTCCACAGTGATTTTCATGTATCTGCTTTTAATCACAATGAACCCTGAGCACCCAGCTTTGTAAGTGGATTTAATGTTGAAACTGTGAGTGACCTAGAGCTAGCACTTCCTGCGGGGTCCCACAGATATCGGGGAGCGCTGTTTCCCTGAGCACTGAGCACATGTGGGCACAGTGGTTAAGAACACAGGTTTGGAAACTCACCTGTCAGGATACGAATCTTGGCTGCACAACTCACCATGTGACCTTGAACTTTAGCTTCTAGTTCTTCAGTCTTTCCATATATAGAAAGGCTATAATAATAATAATAATACCAGCCTCATAAGGTCTTTTTGTGGGGTGGGTTAAATGAAGTTCCTGCATGTAGACCACATAGCACAATGGTCATCGAGCAGACACCAGGTCAGGCTCGATGCTCAACACTATATCGTCTTATGGACCAACCACACATACCCGTTTGCAAAGACAGTCTCAGGTTATGAAATTGTTAGAACTCCCTTTCACTCTCAAATTGCCCCGGTTTGGAGGACAGACTATATGGTCTGACTATATGTTTATTAACTCATTCAGTGCTCCTGCAAGTTGCAGACACTGGGATTCACCTCTAGGCAGTCACACCCCAGTGTCCCTTGCTCTTAACCACCAGAGCAGTACTTCTTGGGGGAGATTTTGCACACACACACACGCACGCACACACGCACTCACACACTCACACACTGCAGAGATATTTGGTAATATTTGGACACATTTTTGATTGTCACAACTGGGGAGTTGCTCCTGGCATCCAGTGGGTAGGGGAGAGGCCAGGGCTGCCGCCGAACCTCCTAATGCACAGGACAGCCCCCCAATAAAGAATTGCCCCAAATGCCGATAGGGCTGAGGGCGAGAAATCTTGTACTCTTGGGACCTCACCAAACTTTATCTCTTACTGTCATTCTCTGTCGTGAAGTCCCACCAAGTGGCAAAAAGCCAGAAATGTTATCATTTTCCTGGTAGAGGTTACACTGAAAACTCTCTGCCCCTTTAACCAGCCCACGGTGGGCTCAGAGCGTGCTGTGGCCCCAGGTGTGCACAGTTATCAAATCCCCTTGGTCCATCGGGCTGGGCCTGGAGTCATCAGGGTGGACCGACCTCACGTGTTCTTTGGAGACAAGTCGGCAGGAAACCACAGGCAGAGCCCTGGTGAGTGTGGTATTTATTGCTCATGGTCATTAATTTCTATTATTGTCATGCTCCTTTGCCTCTCCACTCTTAGATAAAATGGTAGGAATGGAAACAAGGACCCACCAAGTGTAAATATAGACAGTGTAGTTCTGAGCTAAAGGGAAGGTCCCATGGAGGGATGACTCCTGTGCCTGTTTATTTTATATTTTTAACCAAACAGGAGGTGGGGACTTTTCTGTGTCTATTTTTTATTGTTTTTGTGGTGTGTGTTTTTACTTTTCCTCTAGAAAATTTTTATAAAGTTTGTATGCAAATGCTTACTGGCCCATTGCTTCTCTTCAAACCTCTCTGTGAATAGTCTATCCTCTACCATCTATCATCTATCTATCTATCCTCTACCATCTATCATCTACCTATCTATCCTCTACCATCTATCATCTATCTATCTATCTATCTATCTATCTATCTATCTATCCTCTACCATCTATCATCATCTATCTATCTATCTATCTATCTATCTATCTATCTATCTATCCTCTACCATCTATATCTATCTATCTATCTATCTATCTATCTATCTATCTATCTATCTATCTATCTTTCCATCCTCTACCACCTATCATCTATCTATCTGTCATCTGTCTATCTATCTATCTATCTATCTATCATCTAATCTACATATCTATCTATTCTCTATCATGTATTTATCATCTATCTATCTAGTCTTTGCAGAGATCAGAATATCTCCTTGCATCTCTGCTCCATCTTGTCAAGGATGGTCCCCACTACACCCCACTCCCCCAGTTGCCCTGAGCATTCACAGCCAAGTAACCCCCTCAACCAGGCCAGGGGGTAAAGGAGGGCCAAGTTGTGCTCGGAGAAGCTCACTGTGCTCCTTCTTCAAGGAGGGCCAGAGTTCCCAGGCAGACAAGCCACTGGGCGGAGTTCCAGCACTTGCAACAGTGGGGAAGGGCAAGAGCTTCCATGTGCCTCAGGCCGGTCATCTCGACTGTCCACAGCCGGTCTACCAGCCAAAAGAAAGAAATCCAAGTCGAAACTGGGCAATGAGAAAGCTAAACCCAAGTGGAACGAGTGATCAGCCACCTGCTTGTGAAGTATTCACTTAGGAGGGGCCCAGGGCAGGGATCTCAAAATGAGATGGGGCAGCCGGCCACAGCTAGCATACGCAATGCTTTATTTACGTTAGACAAAGTGCCACCCTGAGCAGACAGTTAGGAAAAGGCAGTCCTTTCTCAGGGTGGATGCAGCATAGTCTCGGGCTTGGCAGCAGGGGTTTGGCTGGGTTTCAGCCCCGGGTGACGCCATAGGTGGGCGTCTGTGGCTCTGCCTCGTGGGTTGTGGGCTTGTGGGCTTGTGGGCTTGTGGCAGCCAGGGCCCATCTCACTGGCTCTTTGGCTCACTTGCTGGTGGTTTCTGCCCTCAAAGCCCAACCCCATGCCCCATCACACCGGGGTGCCGACTGGGCAAGAGTGTGTCCCCAAGCCAATCACTTGCCTGGGGAATTTCCTCAGCTCACTGTGGCGGGTATGTTGTCTGAGATGAAGAGAGGAGAGCAAGGGTCAGCCTTGTAGCAACTGTGAGGACTACGATGTGCAAAGAGGGGCTGACGCCTTCGCGCTGGTGGCCAGGCCTGTCCGCCTCGGTTGGAGTCCTAGTGTGACTTACCTTGGTTTCCTGAGGCAGATAAATAAGGTGGGGCCAGTCCTAAAAAAGCCTCTGCTTTACCCTAGCCAGTTTCCCTCGGTGGATAGAGCGTCAGCCTGCCGATTGAAGGGTCCTGAGTTCGATTCCGATCAAGGGCACATACCTCAGTTGCAGGCTCAATCCCCCACCCTGATTGGGGCATGTGAGGGAGGCAACCAATTGATGTTTCTCTCTCACATCAGTGTTTCTCTGTCTCTTCCTCTCCCTTCCACTCTCTCTAAAAACCAATGGAAAAATACCCTCGGGTGAGGATTAACAACACCAACAGCCCCTGCTTCCCTGAAGGGGTTTTAGGAACCAATAATTTAAGGAGGGATCAACCCCCACCTCTGAGGTAACTTTGGGGAGAAGAAACAATGAGGACCAGGAGGACTAGCAAGGTGGGGAAGAATAATAACAGTAATAGTAATAGTAGCAGCAATAATGGTAATGATAATAGCAATCAAACACGTGCTAATTCCCATATTTCAGGCTCTGGTTTAAGCGCTTGTGTGAACTCATTTAATCCTCATAAGAGCCCTGTGAGGTAGTGTGGTGGGTAGGAAATGGAGCTGGACACGCCTCCCTTCAAAGGGTGGAGCCCAAGCCTCGTCCCCTTGCTCGA